AAGGTCACTAACCTATAGAATGAGTGTTGATAGACTCATTTTAGCAGGCAGTCCTGGGCTACGTCAGATGACACTAATAAAGGCACCAACATCAGACTCCATTAAGGGGCTTCCTTTTAGAGCAGTAGGGGTCAGCAACTTGTGGCTCCAGACACAGATCTGTATCAACGGCCCCTTCAATGAGGTTCTGAAAAAAACTGAAATAAGAAATAATACTCTGTGCCATTCTATCAAACAGATAAGTGTGTGGATGCAAAACAACTTCCTCCAGTTAGATACTGATAAAACTGAGACAATTGTCTTTGAACTACAAAACCTAGAGCTGTCATTCATCATCTTAAAACTCTTTCATTAGAACCTAAAAATCAAGTTAGAAATCTCGGGGTAATCATGGACTCAGACTTGCATTTCAACAGTCATATTAAGCTCATTACATCAAGAATATTACAATCTAAAAAACATTACTAAAATAAAAAACATGGGAGAGATTCATCCATGCATTTGTCTCCAGCAGGTTAGACTATTGTAACGGCCGTTCACTTGCCTTTCCAAATGAGCTGTTGAACAACTACAGTTTATCCAAAATGCTGCTGTTTGAGTCCTTACAGAACCAGGGAACACAACCATATTAGTCCAGTGCTCCGGTCTCTGCACTGGCTACCTGTGGCTCAGAGAATAGTCCTTAAAACCGCTCTAATTGTCTACAAGTCTTCTTATGGTTTAGCACCAAAGTAAATCTCTGACATATTAGACCAATATGAACCACCTCAGGCCTTGATATCCTCAGGGAGGGGTCTACTGGTGGTTCCTAGAGTCACCATTAAATATGGTGAGGCTGCATATTATTTTCATGCAGCCAAGGTCTGGAATAGACTCAATAAGGACGTAAAACAAGCCTAAAATCTGATTATGTTTAAGCCTAGGTTGAAAACATGCCTATTTACTCTTGCCTATGGTGATTGATTGCATTTTAACAAATTTTAATATATAATATGTATTTTTATATATTTGTATTGATTGAATTTGTTTTTTTTGTGTTTGTATTTTTGTTAGGTACATTGTGTATGAAATGTGCTGCATAAATAAATTTGTCATTCTTGCCCGTATCTTTAAGGAAACATCAATGTTTTTTTCTACTTGATTCAATGCAGCTTTTTCATTTGGTTTATACTTTTGGTTGGGCTAATTTATGTTCTTCAGCTTTCATATTTATGGTGGCTCACTAAGCTGGACTAATTTTACAATATAAATATGATTTTTCTTCCTTTCTATAAAGGTTTAATCATCAAATTTCTTCTAAAGTCTTGTGAATGAAAAAAAATAAAACATCTTAATTTAATCTTCTATGCTTTCAATATTTATGTACATCTTAATCAAACCTCTTGACAATTTTAATTTCGTAGCAGTGGTGGAAAAAGTGGCTTTTGAATTTTCGAAAAGGTGGCAGATGCCGCTTATAAAGGGAAAAGGTTTTAAGAAAATACTTCAAGCCTCAAAATTACTTCACCCTCATTATTAATACTATCCTAGTCCAATGTGTTGAAAGAAGTAAAACTTCATGTGTTTGATCTGATAAGTGTTTTCTCTGCATTTCCCCAGCTGAACCATTGCATAAAGAAAAGGCTTTTACAGATCTTTGAATCAGGTGAGGGGTCTTAACCAGAAAGGTGGCCAAAGTGTGGCTATTTTAAGGGGGTCAGCCCTTCAGCATAATGTGTCATTTGTTTCCTCTGGCAGCAGAGGCCTCTATGAGGGGGGGAAGGATTTCAATTTCAGCACTATGATGTGGCTTATGCTCTCTACAATAAACAGTCTGTGTCTACAGTAAATATGCAACCTGACTCCTTGAACACCTATGATCCAATTTTCCATGCTGATGACTCTAAATGGAAAGAAAGAAAACAAAGTTTGGGCAAATAATTACTCTCCTTGAACCCCCTAAATCCTAAATTACAAGTGTTCTTCTACAGTTTATCAGGTAAAAGCCAGGTAAGATCATCTTTGAGGTAAACAACTGACCAAAACCCAAATCCCCCAAATTGATCACCACACAATCTAAACCCAACTCGCAAAAATATTCACAACCTTTTCAAATGTTCTCTCATGACATCCTCAAACTTTGGTATAATTTATGAGGATTCAATGAGAAAGCCTAACAAAATACTATATTTTATTGTATTTCCGCCCACTTTACTCAGATGCCACCAAGACAAACCCTCTGCAATGACCCAAAGGTAACAGCTAGAACTGGAATAAAGCTGTGGAAACATTTAAACAGATTTGGCTTATAAAAGAAGCAATGAACATCTAATAAAACACACTTTAATATATCAGTAGCTTGTTTTTATCTTTAAAGCATGACATAGCTGTAGCCCTATGAATACATGTTTGTTCTTAGCTGGCAAGCTAGATAAGGAAAGCATTATTCAGAAATCTGCCAATAGGATCCCGGTCGGTTTGGAGGGTCTGTTTACGGAGAACTATTATTTATACAGCCTGCAAGTCCAATTTTTAGAGCAGTAGCAAGAAGATAACCATTGTTTAACAAAAAACAAATGATAAGATCTCTGATTGCTACAAGCTGTGAAGGATAGAAAGCAGATACGTTAAAGGTCATTCAATCTGAAGACAAAAATTTTATTTCCAAACAGGGCTAACATTAATCAACAGATTGGTATAGTCCAGGGGTCTACAACCTTTCTAATCCAGAGAGCCATTTTTACCTTGAACTGAGCTAAATAAAAGTTTTACAGACTTTACATTTTACATTTCAATCTGAAAAACTCACACATAGAGAAAAGACAATTAGGAGAAATGTATTATACAGTTACTTTGTCATTGGGGTTCAGACCTCTGCAGGAAACATGGCGCTTAATTTTGATAGATATGCAGGAACAGGAGCAAAGAATAGGGCTGTCCCCCCCTCCCCGCCAGGCCTGAAACTGGTGGTGGAGTGGAGATAGATGAAGTCGGTCAGTCAGTAGACTGCAGGTTAGCGAGATGGTACGCTGAGCTTTATGGGGACTGCACAGTCCCCATAAAGTGGATTGTGTGAGCTGATACTAGAGCATCACTCTGGGACCTGGAAGATGGAAGTCCAGTTGGATAACAGAGGTTGAAAGGACCTGTCCATGATGAATAAGCATGAAGCGTCAGTGGAAAGGAAAAAACTCCCTGTTGGGAAGAAACCTCTGGCAGAACCAGGCTCAAAATGGCGGTCTTCTTTCAGACAGGTTAAGATGAGACAGGAAACGCAGTAAGAGTCTGGGAGGAATGACACTCCGATGAAGCTTTAGCTACGAAGGTGGAGGAGGGGCTGGAGTTGGGTTGAAACGGTGTCATCTGAATGAAGTCACAGTGCATCCGCCGCCTGCGCACAGGAGCAGAAAGGTGCGTATCAGAGGCCTTTTAGGATGAGATTTGGATGCTGATTGGCTTTCGTAGAGGTGTGGTTCAAAGCTGATTGGCTGTGTCGTAGGTGGAACAATGAGTTTCTTCAGTTGAATTTGCTCCTGGGCTCCATTTAAATAAATACAACTTCTTATTTTTATTAAACTTTTGCAATAGGACATATGCCTTAATTTTAAACAGTTTATTTGCTGTGTTTAGCTTTTACAATAAGGATAGAAATAGAGGTTTCATAAAGGAGAAGCATTAAAGGTATAGTGGAGGATGTTCTTTTTCTGGGTGGATCATCTAAATAAGTGGTCCTCCTAATTGTCAATCATTCTGGTGATTCTACATAAGGCCGTCCTACGTGCTCATCCCCATTTTCACTTACCAGTGGTGAGTCTGACATAGAGGAAAATTGCAAATCTTCTTTTGGAAATTAAGCTAGTTTAAAAGTTGCAAACAACAACTTTTAAACAAGCCCATTTCTCCTCGTACACACATTTAATAGGTGTTCCCTCTGAGGAGCGGGTACAGAGTTGTGCATGTGCATTTCTTTTTTAAAGTAGAGATGGTACGTAGGTCTTCCACTATACCTTTAATTTGAGATTTTGTTGTATTGGATATTATTTTATGTAAAAATTAAATAACAAATGAAACAGATTACACATTGTTTTTGTTTCTTTAATGTCATTCTCTAATAAAAATTACATTCAGACAAATTCAACAACCTGCTTAACCTTGTAAGAAAGGTATTTGTTAATAAACTATATATATAAAAAAGCATAATTTTTAGCCCCTTTTAAGAGCTGTGGGTTGCAGACAGGCTTAGTCACATGAATTTAAATAAAAAATATGTTAAAATATTCTTACTTACTTTCACAGACACTCTCCATTCAATCTGACATAACATTATATAAGCATCGTAGATGTGGAAAGCTGTTATAGACAAATCCTTAAAAACTTGCAGCTACAATTGAAGCTACTAGTTGGTTCCAGAAAGCTTTGGCTCAGAGGAATTAAATATAAATAAATGCCAGACTTATCTGTGTTTGACAATAACCAAGTAAAACATATAAGAAATTTTCCTGAAATTTCCTGAAATGATGCGTTCTATTTAAATGTCAAAAGGATGTGAATACTTTATAGGACTGCCAGGAAAGATCAAAAATAAAAAAAAGTTGAATAGGTTCGCATGAATTATCGACCTAAGGTTTGTTTAAACCCAAGATAAGAAGTTTGACCCCCCCTCCTCCAACTCCAAGGAGGCAAAGCTGGGGGCGTGTGGGAGGAGCTAAAGCCTGAGGTCCAGGTGGTCCAAAAAATGCGTAAAAACGCTGCGTAAAAAAGAGCCAAACGCTCATGAAACAAACCAGCCCACCGCAACTCTGTGCTTAAGCTGATTTTAGGTGGAGAGGAAAAAAGTACGACGTGTGGATTTGCAGCAGGAGAGAAATCCAGCAGACTTGGACGAGTTGCGGTGGTGCTGCGCTACAATATAACCAGAAAACCTCCACTGAGCGGAATAAACTTCAGCTTCCTTTGGTGCCGGAATAGAGGATTATTTTACCGGGATTTTTTCCAGCTTCTTGTTGGTGAATAGTAGAAATATGTTCAAGAAAACCAAAAGTAAAGTATTGGTGGATTATGCGTCAGAGGAAGACGACATGTCCTGGCACTACCATCACTCCTACAAGGTAATAAAACAGACGCACAGGAAACAGATGAACAAAAGCCTCATTAACGCAACGTGTTCCTTTGTTACTACCATTAAACAGTCCATACCGATTTGAATTCGTTTTGTTCAAATGTATGTGTGTTTTATTTTATTTTTTGCAAATAGAAACAGACCCTGTAATTGTAAATTGTGTTCTTTTTGACTGGATTGAAAGTAAACGCAGAGCTCTTTTGGCAGGAAGCAGGAGGAGGTGAACAAGTGCCTCAAGTTCTCTCAGGTCAGCTGGAGATGCATGTCAACCAGCTCAATCCCAGTTATTTTACAGATGTTCCAATTGGATTCATTTTGGCTGCTTCAGGAATAAAATAGGGTTTAATTTGAAAAAATAAACAAGTAAAAGAAGAATAGATTTAATTATTGGTAAGATAGGGCTATATGTTCTCTTCTGACTCTGAGTGACTCAAGTTTACTTTTGCTGCGCGAAACTTTCACTAAGATCCACCCCTCCTCCACATATTGCTGCTTACTTGTTGCTGCCTTTTTGAGCCAGCTTAATGACTCAAAGAGGCAACAACTTTTTTATTTTTTCTTTATTACGGAAAATATACATTAAAAATTAAAGAAGCGCCTCACATTATTTTACTTTAGTAACACTAAAAACTGCCAGCTGCCATTGGTTTGTGTTTAGGCCAGTTACAGGGGGAAGTATAATCATGCGGGTTATAGGGGTTGGATCATAAAATGCCATAAAAACAGCAAAGAAGTCTGTGTGCTTTTGACTCGAAGCCTAACGACATAATAAAAAGTTAAAAGAATTGTCATTAAGTACTAAAAAAAAATATAATAAATGTTTGCTAAAGGGTTGAAAAAGTCACTCTAAAAGATTTACAAATTGTTCTACATTGGCTGATATTAACTGGCTTAATAGTCAAATGCTTAACATAGAAGCTCCCCATAGCTTCACAATGATTGCTGATGGGTCACCCTTCACTACTGGATTAATATAATGCATTTTTCTCTTTTCAAACATTGGTTTACCTTTCTGACTTTCACCTAATGGTTGGTTAAAATAACCCAACTGTATAAATAACATTTGTATTGATGATTTAAGGTGGCTATATTGATGCTGCGAGCTATACTAAATGTGATGCTCCTATATCCTAGGTAAACCAAAGCAGTGTGTGTTTGAGAACCAAAGAGCCCCTCTATCATCACTAACCCGCAGCCAGGCTCCGTCTTTATTTTATTTTATGGTTTTATCAGGAAGCAAACACAAAATCCTCCATAGCTTAAAAAAAAGAAAAAAAAGATGACAGGCCTCCAACAGTCCAAGCTCATATGAAAAAGAAAGATGACATGTTTATCTTGTGGGAGTCTTGTGTTTATAATATTTTTTTTCTTATCTGTTGGAATTTGAATTCGCTCCATTCCAACCAAAGAGAATGAAGGTCACAGGTCCGTCCCAGTTTCCCTGTCTCTAGATGGGTTCAACTGTGAAACATACATGGGACTTTTTTCTTGTACCAGTTTGCGTCATAACACAGTCAAAATAAGGCACCCACTTATCTTATCACTTCTGTTGGAGAAATCGCTCCAAGTGATGCAATAACTCAAGGTTTTTGGAATATTCTTGAGAAATCTGAGAAAGAAGTGATTAATATCAGATCATTCAAGTTTAAAAAAAATCTGATATAAAAAAATAATCCTTCAATTATTCAAGTCTTTGTTAAACCAGTTGGATTCTTTTCAACTCTACAGCTCTTCTTACCTACCAGTAAAGACAGGGGTAACTGAATGTTTTAAGCAGCTGCATCTTAATTTTTCATATGTTTTCATCTCATGCTGTGAAAATGTCAACATAAAAGATCTTTGCATAAACTTTATTAGGTTTCTCTCAACTGACATCATGGGAACGAACACATGTGCCCTTCACTTCTGACTTCCCTCCCTTAGTTCAGTTTGTTCTATGGCCCTCAGAGTTACGTGACTGTAAGTCGCTGTTCTGAGATCAGAGTAAGCATCAACTCTGCCTCCGATGTCCTGGGAAAGTCTTCAGGGACATCTTCTCCAATCTCCATGGAAGTAAAGTATATCCAAATGGGTCAAGGGGTTGGATTGTAAAATGTCATAAACACAGCAAGGAAGAAAGTGTCAACCCTGTCAGTAATACAGGATGGGGACAGGAAGAAAGTTATGATAACTCAGTCTGAAAGGCTAGTGTTTTTTTTCCCTCCACTTATTTATGTGAGGGAGCTGTGTGTCATATTAAACTCACGTAAAAAAAATACAAAAACAATGGAAGGGGATTTTTTTGCTTTAAGTTGTTTGGTGTGAAAGTAGATCACAACCCAAAGATGTTCTATTCATTCAAAAAGTTCTTAAAAATAATCAAATTACTTGAAGATATAGCTTATTTAAAGGCTGAGCACATGTGCCTTGGAATGAAGATGGATACGTGATTATTTAATGAATTAATCATTCGATTATCTTCTGGCTAAGTTTTTCAAGCTACTGACTCATTTAAAGGTATAGTGGAGTATTTTCGTGAATTTCTGAAAAGTACCGCCCTCTCCACTTAAAAAAAAAAAAAGCACATGCACAACCATGTACTCGCTCCCGAGAGGGAACACCTAATTAATGCATGCGAGAGCGTGCACGATCCCCTTTCTCCTCGTGCACGCTCTGTTCAAATGTTGCTGTTTGCATCGTTCATACAAGCTTACTTTCCAAAAAAAGATTCGAAAATTTTCCACTATGTCAGAAAGTGGGGAAGAGCACATAGGATGGACTTACATAAACATATCACCAGATTGATTGACAATTAGGAAGACCACTTATTTTGATGATCCACCCGGAAAAAGATGCTATACCTTTAATATTGCTGAAGAGATACCATTGTATTTCAGAAAGAGTGTAAAATTTCATGTGATATATTTCATTGGAGCCTGCCTGTGATTAATTATGAGATATTGTTTCTGTTTTAAGTTTTTCTTATGTCCTGATAATTTGAATCTCTTAAAAAAAAAAAGATCAACAACTTAATTAATCAAAAACCTCCTTAAAGCACCACTGTGCATCTGTTAGCCACTAGGAGCGCTAGACCTGTATCTTCCAGGTAAATGTCGTATCTGTTATGCTGCCTAAAAACTATTTTTTAGGCAAAGTTGTTTTGTTTAAGCACAACAATGTGACCCAGAGCACACGACTCATTCAATGACAGATTCGACACTCTCAAGCTTTTAAAAAGGTAGCTCGAACAGAACAGAGATACTCACCAAGTGCTGTTCAGCAACCTGAAAACTAATTTAAAATCTATGAAAATAAACGAACACATGGTCAAAAGTTACGCAGTGTTACTTTGATGAATTAGCAGCTTTTGTTTAATTGTGTTGTCCTGCCAAATACCACTGTAAGGATTTGAATCACACAGAGGAAACCAAATAACTGGATACATGTTACAGTTTAAAATGTGATGCAAAGCATAGAAAACATAATTCTAAAACCAGACAATATATTTTTATAGAAATTTTGATTTTTGCAGACATTATCTTAAAGCATTTTGTGCTATTGCTTATTTTGTTGCCCTTAATTCAGTAGAGGTTTTTAATGGTCTTAAACCCACAGGCTTTACTTCTTTGTTGCAGTTGTCCTCTTTAATGATTAGTTTATTATTAATGTGCTCTCTCTGGGTTAAATGTTGAAACAGTCTGTGGGATTAATGGAACAGGTGACTTGCTTTTTTGAAGTGAAAACTGAGCTTTGGAGTCGGGCACGTTCAGACGATGTATAAAGGGATACAACATTCATATGTAGATAAGGAAAATAAAAGGGGGAAGTGAGGATAAAATACAAAATTTAAAGATAACAGTATTCTTCCCCTGCCTCCATCCTGCTCTGGAACATTAGCACAGCGTCTGCTTGTTTTCTCTTTATTGCTTGTTCTCTATTAAGATCCAGCAGACTGTAAACAGCTGTAAACCTGAAGAAGGACCATGTTTGTCTTTAGCTTGAGGCATAAGCCACCTGAATACTCCACAAACACTGCTCTGACTCTTTCAGTAAAGACGAGCCATGAAAGCTTACAATCGGACTTGACTAAACTTAAAGACAGCCTCTCATCTGAAGTAATAGGCTTAAAACAAGGAAAAGAGAAGATCAAGTTGAGTAAATCTTTAGATGAAGGGGAGAGGGTTAAATTAAAGAGAGATTTCTTTTATCTCCTAAATTCAAGTTAATCTATTCAAGATAAAAATATATATTTTGGTGTTGAGGGAAATAAGCTTATTGACATCTGTAACTTTGATTTCTGTTCACAGATAATTACAATATGAACAACTGTATTGTGAGAAAGGCTTTTTTAAGGAAGGAATTGATATAAAAACTTGGACAGAATACTTTTTAAAGCTTTTATTTATTTATTTGGCAGCCTAAAACCTGGCTGTTTAGACATGTTTAAACATAAATGTGTCATGTAGTGTGGAGTTGAAGCATTGTTAATAATCGTGAGATTATGAAGGTTTTATTTAGGCCTGTTATGATGTTTAAGGTATAATTAAAAGCATTCAAGCAGGAAAAATCTGGTAGCTGCTGTTTGGTGATGTTGGCACCAATTAGGTTTTTATAATAGAACCTTGACTTTCTTAGTTAATTAGTTTGCTTCGTGTATTTAGGTGGTTTCTCTCCACCAAATATGTTTATACCTTATTTTAATATGTATCTAATCTAAGTGGATCTTTTATATGAAAATTAAAAAAGGCATAGATATCTGTTTGTAATAAACATTTGGAAGGTTCAAATGCAGGCACAGGCTGTTGGTGTATAAGCTCAGGCTTTTCCCAAGAAAAGCAAATAATGTTATCTTTACAAATTTAGACTAAGGTGGGTTTTTCTCTTCAGTCTCAGTGTAGTTTTGGCAACAAGCTGACCTGGTTAGGTTTATTCAACAGAAAGGCGTCAATGATAGGCATGAAAATATTCTTGTTTGGGTTGTTTTAAGCACTTTTATTTATGCAGGCTTGTTCCATCAATAGGTTGGAGTGTTGAACGTGATACAAGGTGTGTTGCTAAAATGGTGAACTAGTCAGCACTGCGGTCCAGTTTTATGTCAACTTTTTTTTTTTTTTTTGCACCGAATTTAAGAATGTGAAGCATTTGAGGACTTAAAGCAAATATTTTTTCAGTGTTGGATTTTTCTGTGTATCATCATGGCCTTTATAAACACAAATGTAAAATGTTAGCGGAAAATGGATGTCAATTTACTTCTTACAAGCGATCCTTTAAAAAAAATATTTAGTATACTACTCCCACGAAAATCCTCCCACATGTTAAACCTGCTAATGCTTTTACGCTCTAACAGCGGTCAGTAATCAGTCAGTGTGTTTTTCTTTGATCAGCGTCTGTGGCAGAGACTCAGCAGACCTTGCTCAGACTTGTCCAACCATAGTTATTCCTCCCTTTCTGCCTCGGATTTGTTAGATGTTAGACAATGTTGGTATTTAGAGCTTTTTGCAGAGGTTCTGGCTTTCTTACAGGTGTCTCAGTGCTTGGCTGAACATCTGATGGATTCTGATGGCTCACTTTTTATCCTTGATCATCATTAGTGTTTTGGGCCACATTCTAACACAGATATGTATTTGATTACAGTGAAGATCAAAGTATTTTATATTTTTCTTTTCATTTTCTTTATGTTCACCTAATCTGTAATGTTCCATAAAGAATCGTTGTAAAAAATTAAATGCTAAAAATATTACAAACATAATAATAATGACATAAAAACTGGTTTCTTGGGATTTTTAAGATGAACAGGGTGAAAGCATATTGTCCTATAAACAGTAAAAACGTAGCTAGGGTATGATTGATCAAAGATAACATGAATAACTAAGAACTGCTATAAATCTGTCAAAGTAGAAAAATGTGTTGATGCAACTAGCTTTTATGAACGATCTGACTTTCTGATCATAACTCTGACTTTTGGAGGTGCTCCAGTTGAAATTTCTCATTCTTTCAGAATTTCAACTTTAAAATACAAATGGAACGCAAAATTAAAAACCAAAATCAATGTAAATGTCACTAAAGCAAATTAATGTTTTTTTAATATATTTCAACCCATTTCATTTTTTTTTTATAAAATCACAAATGTTCATTATTTTTCAGATGCAGGAAAATAATACCTTGGTACATTAGTACCTGACTGACCCATTTTGCCTTTAGAAATGCCTTCTATAAGGTGTCAGAAACAATTAATCAGAAATTAGGTCCATATTGACACGTATCATGTAGCTCAGAGGTGCTTAATCTGTTTGAGATCTGGTGACCTTAGATTCCATTAGATTACAGTGAACTCATTGTTATGTGCAGGAACCCAGTTTCAGATTATTAAAGCTTTGTCACATGGTGCTTTGTGACCCCAGGGGCTCAAATGTGCCAAGGAAATATCCCCTGTACCATTACACCAACCTGAACCACTGATACAAGGGCACATGGGTCTGTTTTATAGTTCCCCTTATTCAAAGCAGTTTTTCTATGAAGTACTTACATGGTCTTAAATTAGATTTTTTTTGTTATAATTCTTGGAGTGGAATCCCTGGAGACCCTGAGGGATTGGGAGGTAATCTTGCTTGTTTGTAACCATGTTCCTTGGTCCTGGGTCGTTAAAAGGGTGCTCAATTCACATGCTAACACAACAGTAGGGTATTTGGGTGAGGGGCAATGAAAATCACAACTATACAGGTGCTGGTCATAAAATTAGAATATCATGAAAAAGTAGATTGATTTCAGTAATTCCATTTAAAAAGTGAAACTTGTATATTATATTCATACATTACATACAAACTCATATATTTCAGATGTTTATTTTGTTTAATTTTGATGATTACAAATGACAACAAATGAAAATCTCAAATTCATCATATCAGAAAATTAGAATATTACTGAAGACCAATAAAAACAAAGGATTTATAGAAATGTTGGCCAACTGAAAAGTATGAACATGAAAAGTATGAGCATGTACAGCACTCAGTATTTAGTTGGGCCTCCTTTGGCCTGTATTACTGCAGCAATGCGGCGTGGCATGGAGTCGATCAGTCTGTGGCACTGCTCAGGTGTTATGATACCCCAGGTTGCTCTAATAGTGGCTTTTAGCTCTTCTGAATTGTTGGGTCTGGTGTATTGCATCTTCTTCTTCACAATACCCCATAGATTTTCTATGGGGTTAAGGTCAGGAGAGTTTGCTGGCCAATTAAGAACAGGGATACCATGGTCCTTCAACCAGGTACTGGTAGCTTTGGCACTGTGTGCAGGTGCCAAGTCCTGTTGGAAAATGAAATCTGCATCTCCAAAAAGTTGGTCAGCTGCAGGAAGCATGAAGTGCTCTAAAACTTCCTGGTATGTGGCTGCGTTGACCCTGGACCTCAGAAAACACAATGGACCAACACCAGCAGATGACATGGCACCCCAAACCATCACTGACTGTGGAAACTTTACACTGGACTTCAAGCAACGTGGATGAAGTGCCTCTCTTCTTTTCCTCCAGACTCTGGGACCTTGATTTCCAAAGGAAATGCAAAATTTACTTTCATCAGAGAACATGACTTTGGACCACTCACCAGCAGTCCAGTCCTGTTTCTCTTTAGCCCAGGCAAGACGCTTCTGACGCTGTCTGTGGTTCAAGAGTGGCTTGACACAAGGAATGCGACAGCAGAAACCCATGTCTTTCATACGTCTGTGTGTGGTGGTTCTTGAAGCACTCACTCCAGCTGCAGTCCACTCTTTGTGAATCTCCCCCACATTTTTGAATGGGTTTTGTTTCACAATCCTCTCCAGGGTGCGGTTATCTCTCTTGCTTGTACACTTTTTTCGACCACATCTTTTCCTTCCCTTCGCCTCTCTATTAATGTGCTTGGACACTGAGCTCTGTGAACAGCCAGCCTCTTTAGCGATGACCTTTTGTGTCTTGCCCTCCTTGTGCAAGGTGTCGATGGTCGTCTTTTGGACAACTGTCAAGTCAGCAGTCTTCCCCATGATTGTGTAGCCTATAGAACTAGACTGAAAGACCATTTAAAGGCTTTTGCAGGTGGTTTGAGTTAATTAGCTGATTAGAGTGTGGCACCAGGGGCCATCAATTTTGAACCTTTTCACAATATTCTAATTTTCTGATATGATGAATTTGAGATTTTCATTTGTTGTCATTTGTAATCATCAAAATTAAACCAAATAAACATCTGAAATATATGAGTTTGTATGTAATGTATGAATATAATATACAAGTTTCACTTTTTAAATGGAATTACTGAAATCAATCTACTTTTTCATGATATTCTAATTTTATGACCAGCACCTGTAAATCCGAATAAAGTGATTGTGATGCTTCTCCACCCATTCGGCCATTTTTTGCACCTTAATTTCTATTGCTTTACCCAAACCCGTACCCTAAGCCTAATCAATATCAATACATACAGAACCTAAACTCAATTCAAGTCTTAAACCCACATCCCATCTCAAAAAGAGAACTTTTCATTCTCAGGATCAGTTGACTGGTTCCAAGAAGTACCTGTAAGTCCCCACAGAGTAGCATAATCATGGAAACTTGACCTTACACTGTCCCCACAAAGTAACAAGTACATGTCAACACATAAACCCACAAACATGGCTTTGAGACTGGGATTGGGGTGAGTCTGCCTGCAGCAGATCATGGCTAAATTCGAATTCATGGGATGCAGCCTTTGAAATCGAACACACACGTATCTCTAACACCTCAATTTTAACCCTACTTTTACATTTGTAACATTTCACATTATATAAAAAAAATCAGATTCTGGGTAGGAGGTATACCCAGGGCCTGGCTTGGATATGGTCGGGGTCTCTTCCTATTAACTAGTGAAAGTGCCTGCCAGCTGGGCTGATGGAGTTTGATTGCTTGGTCTGCACTGGGGGACACGGCTGTGATGTTGAATAGTTGGACGCTCAGTGTTTCTTTTTAAACTGGGGGCTACCACTTCTTTTGCTTTGCTTATTCTTTTTGTGGTTGAAGCTAGCAGTCGTGTGGCACACTCAGTCAAGCAAAGTTTCAGGATTGTTTATTCGTCTAACTGTTTTGAGGACATAGCACCTCAAGGTGATGAATTTGAACATATAACACATAAACGGCACTAAAAATGATCAGAATGGCTGAAAACAATAAAAGTTCTTCTTTCATCTAAATGGTTTGTATTCAATGATACCAGATGCAGTGTTAATTAATAAGGCCTGTCACCCAGTTGGTTGAGCAAAACTGCCTTGACACATGTAGTTAATCAGTTTTTCCTGGTGGTATGCATTAGTGTAAGTGTCAGGAAAAAGAAAATGAAAGAAAAAGAAGTAAAAAGACTAAATACAAATGTCAAAATAAAGACATTAATGTCCAAAGTTGAAGAGTTTGTCCTTTAAATTTTATAATTAACCTGCTTTGTTTCCAGATATTCTATCATCCCTTCATACCTCCATCTAGTCCTCTGAACGTAGCGTGTTTATTTCTATGCCTTTCATAGGAAAATGTGCACACACTCCTAAACAAAACGCACAATCCTTCCCTGCCTTATAAAGTAAAAATGTTATTAGCTGGTTTGTTTAGTGGCTGTTGGTGTTTTGTTCCTGACTGTGTTTTTCTCTCTGTGTATGTCGCAGGACAAAGACATGGGAGAGGAAGAGGAGGAGGAAGCTGTCGCTCCGTTAGCCAAGGTAAACGGCAACATGCCAGACATTTGGATGTTACACAAAGATGCAAACAGATTATCTTCTGCCAAACATGCACGTAGTTCAAACTGTTTGTGCCTCAGCAGAAGCTCTGTGGAGATATGGAAGAAGTGTTCGTCCGCTTATCTTTTCAGGAACATGCCCGTTGTATCGCTAGAAGACGCAATCTTATGTTGCCAAAAGTGTCAAAGTTCTTAAAATGACATTGGTTCTGGTAAGTTTCAAATTGGGTCAGACGGTGTCTTCTGAGCACAAAGTGTTCCCCAGAGCAGCTGATGTAAGGCTGGTGGGTCAGAGGACTGCTGAAGCTGCAGTGTTTATCTGTAAACACACCAGGCATCCGACCCGCTTCATCCTCATCTCTATCTTTGTTTACATTTGCTGTTATTCTTAACCTATGATAAACTTGTGCTCATAATGTCAGTAATTTGTTATTTACTGGACATCTTTTAACATTGCTGGAGGTATCATTGGCTATTACACGTAGTTGAAACTATCTTTCTATGTACCATGATAAAAAGGAAACTCAGAATCTTGTTTTTATTTATTACAGGCTAAATATTATATCAGAGTAAACCTTATCTGTTTTAAATCAGTTAGGACCATTTAAAATATATCAGTTTTTTAAATAGAAAAATCAAGATTTTCATTATTTCTATTATTTCAGACGTTTCAACACAGTTCTTTAGTATTTGTTACAATTCTCTTGAAAACTGGTTGGTTTGGGTGAAATGTTTGTGTAGCCTTTAACAATCCTCAACAATAGTTTCATGGATCAGGGTAAAAAAAAAAAAAGGCAGAGTGATTCTTTCATCACCTTACTTTAAATTAGGATAGGACACCCCCAATTCAAACTTTTTACTTTAATTAGAACAATGACCTTTGTGGCCAATCACTTTGATGTCATTAGAGCAAAGGACATTTCTCTAAATATCAGAAAAATGTGTGTTTTTGCATACTTTATGCTGGCTTTGTTGCAGTGTTCTTTCAGCCCACATCATCATGGAACACTGAATAGTTGCATGCCTGTCTGTGCCCTCGTAACTTAATAAACTATATGTGGCTGATTGACAGCGTCAGCCAAGTGTAAAATCTATATGCTTTTTTTCCAGCTATCAGAATTGTGTTCCTCCAGCTCACATGAGGTGATGTACATTTTCTTTAATTACTACCAAAGGATTCCCTAAATTAAATCCTAAAGAAATATTTCATTGCTTACTTTTTATTTTTGGACAAAGACCCAGATGAAAAGGCCAATGGATCTTTCAGTCTTTCTCTACTGTGAGGAACCCACTTAGAGCAGTAATTAAATTGCAAAAAAAGAATACATAGATATTTGGTATTTAAGATTTGTTTTTTAAATGTATTTCAATATGCTCTACCCAGAAAAGTTAGAAGTAAAGCATATTAATGGACAATTAAAAAGAAATCTTAAATAAAATGTATTTATGTATTTTTCATTTTTAATAATTAATCATTTTTTATTTAATTACTGCTCTAAATGGGTTAAAGGCATGGTGTCAATGCATTTAAACGTTTTATTTTGAAAAAAAAAAAAAGGCCAGACAAAAAAAAAAAAAAAATCCAAAACAAACTTATAATTTTCCCAAACAGGATCAGAAGCCTTCCTGTACTGTAAGATGAGAAATTAAGTCTAATTCAGTGTCAGAAACCAAAAAAATAATTTTTTACACAATATTTAACCAAAAAGTCGACTTACATTCTAAATCACAAATTAAATTTTAAAAGAAAACCCTTCTTATATTGTATTTTTTCCTTTTGGAGAACTGTTTGGATTACTTTCTGGGTTTTAAGATAAATGTAGCACAGAAATCTGTAGTTTTATGCCTAATTGGTGATAATCTAAAATTTTCATAGCTTTGCATCTTTTAGCTGATGTTACCTTGACTTCACCACAACAGTATCTTTGGATTTTATCCGATTATTTTCCCTGTACAAGTAGCTTTGGTACAAGGAGCATAAAGTCCTGTCTGTCTGTTATCTCTTTGTCTGTCTTTCTAACTACTCATCACTGTTCTTTCTAAGGCAGCTGATTTGTTTGTTATTTAAATTGTAAATAGTTCTTACCACCACAGGTCCATCAGATATAACCTGTCTCTGATATTATTGTGCCCCTTTGTTTCCGTAATTAAGGAAATTTGTTCAAGATTTTTTAATGAACATTTTATGCACACTTAGAGCTTTGTTTACTGTGTTTATCGCATGTTACACACATACTCCTAATAATTATGAACTGCCTTAGAACAATTCTTTTGTTCTGAAATGTATGCAGTACTGGTTTTCTTTTGCTGTGAGCCATTTAGATAATGAAACAGTTTCCTAGCTAGCTTGTAGATTACATAATGTTGTCTTAAAGCAGTGTTAGATTAATAAAGGTGATGGGCGATGTTGCTTTAGTGAAAAAACATTTACTGTACTCTCTACTAAAGCATTAAGTTGTTTCCACACATACTGTACATCCATTTTTTTGTTTTACTTGAGATGCATCTTCTACCACTTTGCCTCAACATTAAACATAATTATTTTTCAATTATTGTATATAAATTTAGATTTTTCTTGTGCAGGATAATGATTCAAGTTTTGTATTATTAATAATTCCAAAAAAGGTAAAAAAGGTAAAAAAAAAAAAAAAAAAAAAAAAAAAAGGGAAACTCCTGACTTTCTTTTCCAAGTTTAAAGGCGTCTCACTTGGGAATAAAGGAGATTTACAATAAGGAAGGGAACGTAGTAAGGAATGGAGAAAAGACATGCATTAGGAGGAAAGTAGTGTGAGCACGAGAAAGAAAGGACATGAGAGAGGTAGAATTGAAGGAAAGGCACAACTTTTAGACAACAGGACAAGAAATTTAATCTATAAACAAATATTTTTCCTTACTCTTTTTTTTTTTGGTTTGTTTTTTTCTTTTTAACTTATTCACTTCGACGAATACAAATAAACTTCGAATTCCAGACTTTTCCACATGCATAGAAGACCTGGTTGGATGTTTGGTTCTGTTAAACGTTTTGTTACTGATACCAGTTTGACGACGTCAGCCTCTCCGCGTGCAGGTGATCGTCTCTCATCGCCCAGTTCATGAGAGATTTGTATCATCTCATATTCTGTGCTGACAGCAAGTCTTCACCCAGAGGTGTTGTTTTCTGCATGTGTGAAGCAAATCAAACACAGACTGCTGTGTTTTCCCTGAACTCTAGGCCGCTGCCCTATTTTACCTCCTGCCCCTGAGTGCAACTTGTTGGAGGCACATATTTCATGTTGTGTCCTGTCGCTGAGGTGGAGGGGGTAGCTGGCCGGAGAAGGGAAGGAAATGCAGCATTCTTTTGAGGAGCTGTGTGTTTTGAACTGGAACAATCGCCGTGGAGGAAAAACAAAGCTGAAAATAACCCCAGGCTGTTTGGTTGCTGTGAACGACTGCAACTATTCAGGACAATTTATTGTTTTATACTCATACCAGGAATGAGAAAAAAAAATGGCAGCAAATGGATATAGAGATCTGGAAGAAGCTGGGGTCTGGAAACAACTTTAAATCCTTAGTTCTTATGTTATTGAGGCGAGTTTATAAGGATGATCAGAGTTTGACTGGTTATTTTGATAATAAAGCCTTAAATAGTGGATCTAAGTTTCCCTGAGCTGGGTCAGTACATCGTAGAGCCACTAACAGTTGTAAATCTTTTTGAAAGCCTTTTTAAAACATACAAAGATTGGAGCTTTTACCTGTTTCTCTTCACAGAAGGGCTCTAGTGAGAGTCTAAAAATCGAAAATACGTAATTTAAACCATTCCATTGTTGTTTTGAGTTAGTTTTTTGGTTTCTTTATCTGCTGTAAGGTGAACCTCCTCACAAAGTCCTGAGTTCTCAAATACATTTTCTTATTTGTTTGTCCCATATTCAGCTCCAATTATCATCTTCCTTGATCCCCCAGCCTAATGCTGCCAATACCATCCTTTAACCCACCTCCATCTTTAGTTTGATCATTTTCCCTATCACTACTTAAGAAAATATCCCATAGAATGATGATGACACTACCATGCTTTGTACATGGATGGCGTAACTTTTAAGCCACCCTCAGATTGGTAATGGTAGGTAGTCCAAGTCCAGAAAGTAAAAACATTGCCTAGCTTTCCTTCATCCTGTTCAGTTAACCAGTTGATTAGCCCTCAGCCTGCACAGTAAAAACACAGTGTTACATTAACGCTTACAGAGTTGAATGTTACTCTATTTCAGATAACATTTGTTCCCACTCAAAATTAGTGTAAAATTGACTCTATATCTAGTGTCAGTTTGTCAGAGTAAATAAAAATAAATAAAATAAAAGTCAAGAAGATCTCTGAGACTGGCGGGTAATCAACACCATGTAGAGTAAAAGCTAAAGTGCATGGCTGTCCGATTTTACACTGATTATTAAATCCAATACTTGAGCAGATTTATACTTAGTATAGTTGTAAGTACTCCAATTAGAGTTAACACCCTAATGTGCTTAAATGCAAACAGGTAACAGAAAAATATGGTAGTAATGAGGGTACATTAAATAAAATAGTGTTTTATTTAGTCCCCAAATCCAGAAGTTAATTAGCAAGAAACACAAAAGCACCTCCACATCTGTCTTTTAATATCTAAAGAACTTTCATAATGCTTAATAACTCCCTCAGCTTCCATGTCAGAAATCGGGTTAATAAAAGCTGGATTGTTCTACCAGGTAATTCTCCCCCTCATACACGGTGAACTGAGGGGCTCGTTTTAGTGGGACAGATTAAAGGGTCTCTAAGAGAACAAAGAATAGTTTAGCTGCTGTATGTGCAAGCATGCAAGTGGAATTCAGCCGCACGCAGACTCGCTTCCAACAAGAACGACTCCCTGTGGTTATCGTGTTCCTTTTCTCTGCAGAGCTCCCGACTACTGAAGAGTGGCATGCTGCAAAACGCTGGTTTAAAAAAAAAAAGAGGTTGGACAGAAACCAGGTGCTGAAAGAGCGGCGGTTAAATATTTATTTTTTGACGCCTTAATCATGCTTGTGCAAGAGAGAGGGTGATATTTATTTCCACATTTATCAACTTGCAAAACAGCAGCAGAATGATCTATTCTCAGGTGTGTTAAATGAATGTTAAACATGTTAACTGGTGGCAGTTTGTTTAATCTAAACTCTTGCATTCTGAAGCCTTATCCGCTGACAGGTCTGATTGAAGGTGTCCCTGTTTGCTTTAAGGAAAGAAGGCTTTCTGTGTCAAACAAACTGTTTGCTTGTTGTGGCTGCTGAGGCAACTTCCTGTCCCAAATGAGAATGGATCTATATTACATATCAAGCCATATAAAGAGGTTCTCTAGGGTTAAACCCATTAGTCAAATATCATTTTGTGTACTGAGAGAGCAGGCAGACACGGATGTGAGGAGGGTTGAGGGCGAGACCTTGACAGCTGAGATTAGGAGTTTTCTCCTGGCAAGAAGGGAAGTCAAAACTTTGTTCTATTTTAGCTGATAAGTGATGTATGAGCACTCAGTAGAAAGAAGGGAAACGCAGGAAGGAATTCTAATATGATGGAGATCAGGAGTTTTCTCGCACTGGAATGCACTCAGAAAGCCTCACAAAGTATTTTCCAAAATATGAGCTGTCAACCTGAACGAATCGTTGCTTCTCTGCATTCCTGTCCTCTCAAACTCTTAAATATCTTTCGGTTGGGAGGGTAAATAAAAAAAGAAAACAGAGACAAGTAACATGGAGTTATGAATGTTAAAACAGATGTTTAAAGTTTATTCTCTTTTTTTCTGTTGTTTTTTATTTGTCAGGAGGCAAAGGTGAAGATAATGATGTCCAAGAAGGAGAGGAAGGAGAAAAAGATGCTTTCCTCCAAGGATGATGAACACTTGTTGCTGTCCGGAGAGAAGGTGGCAGACCGCAAAGTGTAAGTTTCATATGCATTTTCTTTATCATGACAAACTGAATTTTGTTCCGTAACATTTTTAAAAGCCAGAGATTTGAGGTTAGAAAAAAAAAAGGTTGGATTTTAGCTCTTATTTTGTTTTTCCACTGGCTCAACTTAAGCAAAAACTAATGCTTCAGAGACCTTTTGTGTTATCAGAACACTAATAACACAAACTACTTTATTAGTGACTAAAGAATCTGCTTAATAGTTTAATAAGAGCAGTTATTTGTTAAAATGTCAAAAACAGCATAAGAAATTAACCGTCTAAATTCCTCTTAAATATTTCCCATGCTACAAATTAGTATATATATTCACTATTGTACACGTCAGTAGCTCTGCAACCTGTCAGAATAAGATGTGTAGACAATTTGAGATGTTAACCAATAACTTACACTTTTTACAAAAGGACTTTGGGAGCTTTGGTATCTCACCATCAAAATGTGCAATAAATATGGACAATAAAGGCAGTTGGTTTCTGCTGGGCTGGTAAATTAATAAGTAATATGCAAAGCAGGAAGGCATGACACTTGAAATATTACAAACCACCAAATTTTGCTTTGCGGATATCAAAGGCGGCTGGTGGAGGGGTATAAAAATAAAGTCGTATAGCAAAAAACAATCAAACGTATAAGTTATCACACCAGTATATATTTATATGAATGCCAACAACAAAAAAACATGATAAAAACCCTATAAAAACAAAACATAATTTCATTTTCATGTTTCATATTAAGATGGGGGTTATAATTTGAATCATTATGCATCTCTATTCCCATTAAAATATTTAAGTAGCTGGTAAAGAGCAAAAGATTACCATTAAAACTGTATAAATACAGCTCAATATCTAAATATAAATTGTAAACTAATTCCTTGCACATATTTCCTCTTCCCCTACAATTCTCCAACTTATATTTTGATGAGTTAGATATGAGTTTCTGTCCTAAAAAAAGGTGTTTTAAAATAGACGATGACTTTTTATTGGGTGTTTGTTCTGTTCTTACGGTGAATTTCTTTGCCTAATTTAAAGGACATATTGTTACATGTCCAATGCTGGCAGGCCAGAAATAGTTCAGCTTTATATCGGATCAGTATGGCACCATATTAAATCATTACCACTCAAGTGCGAAAGGCAAAAACATTTAGTTTCAGCTACTAAAACCAAAGCCGCACCCACCCACTTGGATTTGTTTACATGTAATTCTTTATAAGCAGTTTCTTTGAGACAAGCTGAGGAAGTGGAACATATATGAGCAGGAAAACCTTTATTAATGACCTTGCTTTGACAAACAAAAGGGAACTCCTCCATAAGGGCTCGGTGTGTGGGAAACACTCTGCTCTCCAGTGTTAAAATGTCTGATAAACACCAGTCCCTCCAGATCTATTTATGGTGACAATACAGGAAACTGTGTGGAATGCCTGTAACTTAATGTTTTAACCGCTCTCTTTTTAACCCTTTCTGTGTTTCCTCAAAGGTCTAACAAAAAGGTCAAGGAAGGGGAGAAGGAGAAGAAGGACAAACCAGAAAAGGTAAACTGTTTCTGGGACAATGTTACAATGACTATGAGACAAATCTCACCTGCTAAAAAACCGGAGAAGATGGAGGGCTGGGAGCCACCGCAGCTGGGGATGGTTGCTGAGACTGTGGGTGAGGAAGCCCTGGTCGAGGGCGGTCAGAACGGAGAGTCTGCATTGTCCCTTCCTCCTGACTCCATCAGCATACCCTTAGAAATTCCTTCGTGGGGTGGACAGGGGTTTGAGGAGGACTCCTCCCGCTATGCCAACCTGAAGGACTCCAACGACCCAGCTGCTGCAGTGAGGTGGACGGCCCGTGCCAAAGTCAAGCTGGCTGGGATCAGTAGAATGAGCAGAGGGATCGTGTCAGAGGGCCCATGGGCCAATTTCAAGCAGTAGCATGGTTTCATTCAGTAGATCTGAACCGAAATTCTGCCTCCTAGTCTAGAAAACATGACACCATAGACTGTCACACAGGAAATAAACAAGGCAGGGCCTTAACGTGCTACTCCAGTAGTGACCAGTAAACAGGATTTATTTTTCTCCTATTAGTTTCTGTTGAGAGCGTTAAAGGGCATATATCATAATTTTTATTACTTTTCCTTCTTAATGTGGGTCAGGTTTCCATCTGATAAGTTACATCTATGTCCATACTATTTATAAAAAAAAAAGAAGCATGAAGCATCTTAGGATGAAGCCAAACAGTGGCAGCATCAAAAGGCTTTTTTGTATCAGAAACTTCCATCTCTGCTCTGGGAAACAATAAAAGGACATGTTGTAATTTATTTATGGTTTGAACTCTCATTATCTAAATCCATCCCCCCAAAATGTGATATTTTCCCTTTAACTTCTTCCTAAATTACTAAAAGAATTTCCCTACAAGCTGTTTTTTGTTATTTTTACATTTATTCATCCATTTTGTGCATCAAGGACAACTGGTTAAACCCCAAAACTTAAACCAGCTTTGTAATTTCTGAGCTATCTGTAGGTAACCCCATCATAATACAAATTATTGTTTTGAATCCTTGAATGTTACACATAAAACGTTTGTTTGAAGGAATTTTAAATCATTTGTGTTGTGAGTTTTTTTTAAAGGACTTTTATGCTTGAATCACTAGCAAATTCTTAATCTGTTGAAATGAAAGCCTTAAACTACTGTCAAATGTCATTTTTTGAATGTGTGATTTTTGCCAATATGTTTTTTGCTCAGATGAGAGACAATCAAATATTACGCAAGCTTGTTATACTACTGAACCTTTATGTAGCTACTTTATACTTCCTTACTATGCAGATGCAGCACCCTGACACTGTCTGAAGCCTTAACATAAAAGCTCAATGAGTTGTGCAATCATAAAAAAAAAAAATGAAAAACTCTTGAAGTGAGTGTTTGTGTGTCTTTGAAGGAAACCAAAATAAACGGTGTCTTACATGTTTTCATTAGTTTGTTCAGCAGGATTCCTATTTAACTTGATTTTAGTCATTTCCCGTTATGGATAAAGACAATAAGAGAATGGAGATATATTTTCTACTTCCCGAATTTTCTTCTTATCTCATCATAACGTGTTCTTTCCTCCTTTCATTTTTCCCCTCATTTCCATTGATATTTCCTTCATCCTGTCCTTCCTTCCTTCCTTTTCCCCTCCACCTCCTTGCTTTTCTGTATCCTTCCTAATTGTGTCTACACCCTCGTTGCTTTCTCATGTCCTTCCCTTCTATATTTCCTGCTTGTCCTAATTTGTGTCCTCAAATCCTTATTATACTGAAGCTTTTGCTTCTTGAAGGCTTTATAGATCTCCTTAAGTGCTTGCAACAATAATTGTGGAAGGTGCTCTATATAAGAAATTGTTCCACATATTAAGTTAACGTTTTACAACACATTGGGTGTCCGATATTTAATGTATTGTGTAGAAATCTGGTGATAAACATATAAAATGTAAATACAATAATTTACTCTACAAATTAGAGCTTTAAAAATAATCAGTAGTAATAATTCTGGAGATTATTTCAATCCATTAAAGCATAAAACACTAAAGATGCATGATTTAGTTGATTTGAAAGTGTTACAGACAATGCAACAAGTTAACAAAAAAATATTTGACCTATAAACAGTCAATAAAATGTTTGAAAAATGAATAAGGAGTTATAATTTGAAAGGAATAGAGGTTTTTAAAAACCAAGATTCAGGACAAAAGTAGAATTCAATTCAGTTTATTTCTATAGCGCTAATTCACAACACATCTCATTTCAAGGCACTTTACAGTTCACCAGATCATTCAGTCAAATTGATTCAAAGTTTTCTATCTAAGGAAAACCAGTTGATTGCATCGACTCATTGACTAAAATGCAATCCCTCACACTAAGCATGCTTGTAGCGACAGTGGAGAGGAAAAACTCCCTTTTAGCAGGAAGAAACCTCCAGCAGAACCAGGCTCAGTGTGAGCGGCCATCTGCCGAGGCCGACTGGGGTTCAAGGAGACAGAAGCAGGAGTATTGCAGTAAATAGTGTACAATTATGGAACAAGTTTAACAAAGAAATTCAGGAAACAAGGTAACTTACACAATTTTAGAAAATGAATGAAATAATGTGTACTGAGTAAGCAGGAAATTATGGAAAAATTAAATCGTTTGTCACAAAGTTGAAATTTAAGTCTAAAGACATTTAAGTTCAATTAAGTTGTCGCATTTGAGATTAATTATGATAAATTTTGATATTTATTATGGGGTTGTAAAAAGAGTCAGAAAATGTAAAAATGTCTCTCCTCTCTGCTTCTTTTTGCATACAGACTGCTGGAATGTATTCATTTCTGCTTTTCTTTCAAATGAATGAAATAAAAAAAAAAATGGTGACTTGGACAGAAGGAAATGCAAATAACCAAACTAGGCTCAATCCCAAACACCAATTCAATTCATGACTTCTTTTCCACAGATTTGTTAAAATGCATTCACATAAAATAGATATCACCATGTTTGCTGTGAAATTTAAATGAGCAAAGTCACTTTCAGGACTGATTTCTTTTAATGACATAGAAGGAAAAAATTAGCACACACTTTTAATTTACTAGCCTGACAACACAATTAGCAGTTTCTCCTTTTATATTTTTGTTTACAGCTCCTGTCTCTATGTGGGACAAAACTAACTTAGATTAGTTTTGTCACTTTAATGGTATATAAGTTACCAATCTGTTACAATGATATAAATTATTTTACTTTAAATCCATCCTAATAAATAGGATTGGTTCACCAATGCTTAGTGTGTCACTGAAAAGATTATTCAGACGTTTTTTCTATTTACTTAATCATATTATTACTTTAACACATTTTTTCATGTTAGCAGAGTAGGACATAAAACAAATCTGTTACAATATCTGAATATGATTAAGTAAATGCCAAAAACTGTTTTTTTCAGTGTATATGTGCCAATGGAGTTGGACTCCCTTTGATTCTGCAATATCCTTTATTCATTGACTTATGTTTCCTCAAGAAGAAGAGTTAGTCTGACACACATACTTAGATTTGAAGGTTGAACTCTGTTATTGAGTGGTTAATAAGTTGATCACCCTTTTGCAGGAAAATATTATAGAAAACATTTCTCACTCTTCAGATTTCTGATCGTCTGGTTTGACCACCTTCCCACTTTTGTGAAGAGTTTTGTTTTTGTCAAATCAAACAGAAATCTGTACTGTAAAACTTCTGCATATCTGGATCAAAGCCATAAATACAACAACACAAGCCGATTTTAGAAGCACTTTTAATTCATAGCTAGTTTCCCACACTGTAAACGTCACAACAGTACCATTAAGAGTATGTGTTGATAAAGGGTTGTTACAAAATAGGGAAGAGAATTACAAAAGTCACCCCCCCACCCCCACTTAAACAGTCTATGTTTTTTCTATTTGCCACTGCAGATGCCAAACAGCAGTAGAAAATGCGTACACTCAGAGCTTTACATTAGCTGACAAAGGACAACAAACTTGTAAACGGAGTCGGACGTGACGAAGGAGCTGTACCTGTAGAAAAAACGCCAGCAGAAACAAACAGATCAGGATGCAACTAAACCTCACTGAATAAATAATCATCAGATCTTTTTTTCTTTTAGATTTCTGTAACTCTTTATGGACCTTAACAAATACTTGTCTACCTATAAAAGACTAAAACACGTTTTACACATAAAACATATCTTCTTCTTTTATATACTTACATATTTTAATTCCCTCTATAGAGAGAAACCTTTTTTTCTGTCTTCAAGACTAACATCTATGCTGAAAAATAAACAATCTTAACATTTTGAAACAAAGAACACATATTTAAGACCTCTATTTTTGGGAAATAACTGTGCACTGAAAAATAAAATCCATTTCGTGCAGTTTCAGCCCTTTTTTATTTAGGTAAACAACGCTAAAGTGTAAACAGAGTCAAAGCTGGGTGGGATGGAGAGTAAAGTAAGTCATGTCGGAGGACAACACGGAGGGTTTAAAATCTGAAGAGGTCAATAAAGTGCTGCGGAGAAATTGGCATCAGGCAGCTGTCTGGATCATTGGCGGTGCACGGGTGGCCAAAGTCCTATGGGAGAGATAACATTCAGAATGAGAAGGATGAGTAACCAGGTAGGAGATTTACTCAAATTACATTCATGAGTTTATAAAGATGGAAAACAGGGGAGTGAGGAGGTTGATGAGCACTGAAAGTCACTGAAAACCATTAGATTAAAAAAGTACGAAAAATCCTGGAGAAAACTGTTGTACTATAACTTCATAACATCTGGCAAAAGTGTCCATAACCTGTAAAGGAATAGTACACCCAAAACATGATTAGCCTTCATTTTCTACTCACCCCAATGCTGAACAACACTCTGGAGTACTTTTTGATATCTCAAATGCATCTGGAGATCTGGGAGGCTTCTTGCTGTCTGCTGACATTCAAATAATGGAGGTCTATGGTGCCCGAGACAGAAAGGTCCATAAAAGACCACAAAAAACGTGTCAATATTCCTCCATACTGCTCGTCCAATGTATTCCAAGTGTCCTGAGTGGGTAGCATCCATAATTTACTCGAAACGAAGTCATTTAGAATGTTTTTAGAGCATAAACAGTAGTGTATAGGATTTCCTAAAAGCGCCTTCACGAGTCTACGGAAACCGTGGCAGACCAAACCAGATGAAAGTGCGCATTCAGCTCGGCAAAGAACTCATGCTCTTTCTCAACACTGAAGTCCTCAGACATTTTTCTTTCGTTGTTTCTTTCTTTGCACAGGTAAACAGCACATTTCTTCTTCTACACTTGCATTATCGGCAGAGCAGACGCTGAATGCGCACTTTCATCTGGTTTGGTCTGCCGCGGTTTCCGTAGCGTCGTGAACGCGCTTTCAGGAAATCCTATACACTACTGTTTATGCTCTAAAAACATTCTAAATGACTTCGTTTCGAGTAAATTATGGACGCTACCCACTCAGGACACTTGGAATACATTGGACGAGCAGTATGGAGGAATATTGACACGTTTTTTGTGGACTTTTATGGACCTTTCTGCCTCGGGCACCATAGACCTCCATTATTTGAATGTCAGCAGACAGCAAGAAGCCTCCCAGATCTCCAGATGCATTTGAGATATCAAAAAAGTACTCCAGAGTGTTGTTCAGCATGGGGGTGAGTAGAAAATGAAGGCTAATCATGTTTTGGGTGTACTATTCCTTTAAGCTATTTTGTAAAGAATAGTCAGAACACTGGATCTTCAGATAAGTAAAAAATAAAACCCACAAACAGACCAAAAATTTGCAGCTGTAACAGAAATAAATTCAAAAGCATGCATGCATGCAAATAAAAAACATGCATAATTTTCCTTACACTTCACAGCAGTGCTCTACAGTTTGTGACCATGGTTATACCCAGTGTTTGAAAAGTTATGGGTACTTTTGCAAGCCAATATAATACGTATCTACTATACAGTATTTATCCTAACATGCTTGGTTGAAATAAATAAAAAAATGCCTAATCATGAGTTTATTTCATTATGGGGTACATGTAAGGTACATGTAAAATTAATGTAATTAAAATGATAGTCTCCACTCAATTTAATTAAATCTCTATGATATCAGTACAGATTTCTAATACAAGCTAATCACAGAGTTTTTGTGGAATGGGAATAGGCCAAGAATTAAGCTTTAAAAACTATTTGTCTCACAGCATATTGTCGGAATGGCCCCCCCAAACAGGGAGTTATATAATTTTGTCTTTGAGATGAATAAGATGGCAAGGCTGGGTGGGTCAAAATAACAGAAGGGCTTGTACGCTCCTCTGGTTTTGTAGAATATATGTCACAGAAAACTAAGGCAGGGGAGGCTAATTTAATTTTGGATCATTCACGATGGGCAAGGGTGCATAAAATGTTGGGTAACCCTTCCATCTACAAAGGTAAAAAGGTGTTTTTATGGCCAACTTAGTTGTAAAAGGGCATGTGTACTGTCCAAGATCTATATAGAGATCAGATAATTATGTCTTTTGAGGAACTTAAACAACAATTTAATTTAACTGACAAAGGGGATTTTTGAGGTATCTACAGCTGAGAAGTCGGTAGGATCTGTTTTTGGTTTGAGAAGAGAGAATGAAGAAGATAATGTGATGCAGGAGTTTTTTAATGCTCCGCCTATTACACATGTACACTCTGCCTCTGTCTGCTAGAACAAAACGTCAAGAATCCAGAACAAAATGTCTGAAAATTTTAAATGATCTGGCAGAAAGATCTTGATACAGACATTGACGAGGCTGTGTGGGAAAATATCATTTCAAATGTGGGAGGGGCTGCAAGGGATGCAAGGAATACATTTATTCACTACAAAATTGTACATAGGTATTATTTTACACCAAGTAAGCTATGCCGAATGGGTCTAATAAAGGATAACAAATGTTGGAAGTGTAGTAAAGAGGTGGGTACACTTCTCCATGCACTATGGGATTGCCCCTTGATAAATGCCTTTTTGGAAGGCAGTTTAAAAAAAATATATAAGGACTGGCTTAGTCAACTTTTACCATAGTCTGCAAAATTCTGCCTTTTAGGAGATAGACTAATGATGACAGGTTTTCTGATAGTGGCTAGAATTATTCTTCGTAAATGGAAGAGCCCATATAGACCAGAAAATAAGGAATGGCTTCAACTTATGTGAGAGACAGCTGCTTTTGAAGTGATGATTTCAAGGGTGCAGAAAGAGCAGAGTAAAGCTAGCCCAGCATAGATGTATTTTGATTACAGTGTTTGTATCAATTCTTAAGGGATTTGGGGTGTGTGTATATTGTGTGTAGGGCTGCAACAACGAATCGATAAAATCGATAAAAATCGACTTTTAAAAGCGTTGGCAACGAATTTAATCATCGATTAGTTGTGTCGCGCGATTAATGCGTCATCCGCCGCCGCCGTCAACCGGGGGAAGAAAAAAAAATATGGCGGAGCGAGTCAGCGCCGCAGTTGCAGTGTTGCCAACTCAGCGACTTTTCAGACCCCTCCAGCGACTATTTTTCAAAAAAGCGACTAGCGAAAAATCTGGCGACTTTTTACGGTGTCACTGGCGGCTTTTGCCTGCCTTGGGGCATCCCAACGCCTTTTTCCCTCTCCCACAGGAATCCCTCTCAGTCAGAGCCGCAGGATTTTAGTGAGGAGTTAACCCTCAGCGTCCAGACTGCAAATGAAGCGCGCATGCGCCGGGATTGACGGCGCAAATTGATCACAATAATTAAAATAGCCGGCGCTTTGTAAAGTGAAAAAAGTCGTAACATGCAACTTTTGTAAAAACAAATGAACATGGCATGGAAGCACCACTGTTATGACGCAGCACCTGAAAAGAAAACATGTTGGAGCCTTCAATGGCAGTGAAGAGAGCTGATCAGCAGGATGAGTAACCGTGTTTTTTTCATTTTAAAGTGGGGAAACGTAAGTTAGTTTCTCAGGTAGCTCATCTGATGCTTTCCTTACCTTGTTAGTAGGTTACAGACAGTGATAAGGTTGGCTACTTATTTTACTTTTAATTTCATTTAAATTTGTTTAAGCAGCGTTTATATTTTCTTTATAAATAAATTAACTTGCAAATTATGAGGGCAAGGCTTTTAAAGTTTAAATCTTCTGGCAAAGATAAAGAAAAGAAGATCCTGCAATTTATGGAAGTAAAGCAGAACAAAATCCAGCAAGATCAGTAATATGTCAATTAATTATCTGCCACATTCCCATGTAAATATCTGTCTTTGGAGGATGTGTTTTTTTTATTCCAAATACAATTTATAATTTGAATCACAGGGCTATTTTTATCTCTATGGTTCAGTATTTTCTCAAGCAGCAACTTTAACTGCTATACTTTCCTGTCTTAAAAGGCAGAACTCTTCTAGTCTAAAAAAACTCATTTGTTGAAATGGGGGGACCTATTGTTTGAACCCCTTAGGGGCTTTAAAAAACAAAAATGCCTGTCTCTTTTTGCGCTTTATGAAACAAAGTAGCCTATATTTTGTGGATGTACAGCTACATTTCTCATGTAAGTTTGCGTAGTTTTTACACAAACATTTATTTTTCATATTGCACCAGTACAGTTAATGAGCAACCTGTACTTGTGGGCTTGTTTGTTCTGTCTAAAATGTTTATTTTGGAATAAAGAGGTTAATACAAAAAATTTTTTTTGTCCGATTCATCGATTAATCGAAAAAATAATCGGCCGATTCATCGATTTTTAAAATAATCGTTAGTTGCAGCCCTAATTGTGTGTATATACATTATTATATTCTGGAATAGATAATTGGTAAGTGCTGTCATGTTCTGTGTTGCTGCCGATGTATATTTGTGTGTTTTTGTTTTTTGAACGTTATTTTTCTGTAACTGTATCATCACAAAAGCAAAATAATAAAAAAATGTAATGACAAAAAAAAAATAGTTTCATGTTTACAGCTAGGCGGTTGAGATCTGGAAGGCCATCTCCAGTAAACAGAAGAAAGAAAAAAATAATAATTTCCTGTATGCTTCACCACAAAACTCCTCGAAATAAGAAAAGAAGCCACCTTGACAAATCTAAGCCAGGTAAGGGAGGGTTTACCACTAGACAGCAAATATATGAGGCTGGAGAGGAAATCCTTTATAAACCTGCAGTCTACATTAAAGGCACACTATGCAACATTTTTCAGTTAATTAATGTGTTCCATAACGTTTTGGATGATTAAATGAGTCATTTCAGGTTGAACAAAGGTATTCTCGGCCGCCCTGGTGGTCTGTGGGGGAAATACCGCACTTGCAATTGCAGGAGCACCGACCCGCACCCACAGGCTCAGAAGTCTCATGAGAGTCAGTCTTGCTTTACGGCCGAGAACTGCTACACCCCCCAGTTAAAAGCATTCTCGTTGCTAGCACAGTGGCGATCCTTGTGCAGTTATGCTACGTTCCCGCAGCAAAAGCAGCAAAATCGTGTCTGCTGCTTGTACCAGTTAGTTCTGACGCTCTGGCTGTGCGGTGCAAAAGTGTGTCTGACGCGCGTTGGGCGGAGCTTCACTATCCTTTCTCTGCCTTGCAGCTATATTTGCTGTGATCATTTGGAATAAAGTAGTTTTAATATGTGTTTAAGTGAGAAAATACACCTGAAAACGTAATCAGTGCCGTCAGTTCATTCAGATTATTATCCTGCCTTCAATATTTTTTCTGTCGGAGCCGCTCAGACCCCCACATACCAGCGGTGCGCCGACAGAAGGAACCCCTTCATCAGCAGCCTCTGGCCAGGTCACGTCCTCGCGGTTCACCGCGGCAGCTGGTAGGTGTTTTTCATCTAAATAATCCAAACTGCATATTCTGCCGGCAGATTTCTGCATTTTAAGTTAATTTAGGCGTCAATAAACTGTTTAAGAGGAGAGATCATAGCCTCTGATCATCAGCGCTGTGTCTCTCTCCCTGCTTCAGCTGCTCAGACGCGCTGGGCCTGCTGCTCCTTTGCTGCGCCTTGACGCGCGTCAACCATTGACTTTGCATGTGAACTCGCTGCTTCTGTCGCGCCAGCTGCGGTGTGAACGCAGCATTAGTCATTCGTTGCGTTCGCCTGTCTGCTAAGCTCAAAACAACCGCGCCTGGCTTGACGGAGAAACCAGGAGAACAGCTGTGCATATTTACGACAGTGCACTTTTACTTTCGCCCTCTGGGGGGAGTCTCGCTGGAAAATCAACACCGGTTGCATAGTGTACCTTTAACACACGTCTACATTAGCTTAAAATGTGTAGGTTGCAAAAGCATCTCTTTTTTGAAAGATATATTTATTTTACGTCAATCTCCAAAAACTGTGAGATTTCTACTTGTTTTTGTCACAGTTAATTCCAAATTTCCCCCACAGTGGCACCATGAAGGCATTTCTTCTTTTCATCTAGTTACTCTAAATCATCTTTTTAATCTTATTGCCAGAAAAAGCGAGTGAAAATGCTACAGAAGTGGCTTTTGCTAAATAAAAATATACTTCATAATAATTTGATTTTAAACTAACCAGCTGATATCCAGGAATGACTTAAAGAAATCCAGTTGGACTCAGAAATAGTCACTTTAAACTAAATTAGAACATTAGCATGCAGGCATGAAGATTTAATCTAAATATTTACACTAGATTATAAGACAGCTGACAGCTTTTTAGACATTTATCTAACAGAAACATGTTGGCACAGAGGAAGATAAGAGCACAGAGAAAAAGGAGCCCCTGTTTACCAAACAGCTCTTGACAAAACGTCATGACTTTAAGAGATACCTGGAATAGCACGCAACAAAGCCTAACTCATGAAAACGGCTTGATTACATGATCAACAGAGAGCAAAACAACAGTATGATGGGACGTGAAGTACCTTGAGAAACAAAGCCACATGGTGATCCTTAAGGAGTCGGGGAGAAGGGGAACCGGGAGGAGAGGAAGGAAGGCAAGCCAGGAAAAGGAGGCAGAGAAGGCAGAGTTAAAACATACGGGGAAGAGCAAAGGAGGAAGGTCACAAATGGTGCAAAAAAGGAAAACCTTCCAGACTAAGGTACTTCTTCTGAAAAGTACAGTTCTTTAAATTAATTAAAAATTTCTGCAAATGAAATCTGACCCAAACACCTGAACAAAAAACTAAACAAATCAAACATTTGATACAACAAAAAACAAATTTTTCCATATGAACCTGGAAAAACAAAACAAAAAAAGAAACACCTCATGGCAAAAAAAATACCTTTTACACATGAGTATTAATAACTGTGCAAACACACACTGATATCTGTATTTCTCGCTACCACGAAAACCTGAATAACTGCCTTCTGATTGATGCAGTATAAAGAAAAAATACACAGGGAATTTTCCTTCCACTTTTGAAAATAAATTATTAACACTTTTCAACCCAAAGATCTGCTCTCAGAGATAGAAACAAACACCTGTACAGATTTCCATTTCCATAAGTCGGTCTTAATTTGGCAGATTTTTTTTTACTTGGGAAAAGGCACAAACTGCAGACTTTACTGACTATAAACTATCAAGGCATTCACAGTATAAACAAGCTTAACAAAATAAACACTCTATAGTGTTATTGCAGCTATATTATAGTCATTTAGATCAATGGAACAAAATTTTTACTCTACATAATCCTGACATTTTTACCAAGTGAGGAAATATTCCAATATTAAAAAAGAACAAAACAAACAAAAAACAAAACAACTATAAAACATTCTAAATTCTGAATCACAGAAATAGAGTTTTGTAATGCAAATATGTTAGCAGGGGACAAGTAGTTTAATAAAATGTCAAGAGCTGCATGTAAAAACAAGCTGGAAAAAGGTTAAAGGGAGATGAAAATCTGAAGAGAAATATACAAAAATAAACAAACATGCCTGAGAACTTGATGTACATCAGGGCGGCTTAAATTCAGAAAATTATTTCCTGTCCGAAAAGACTCCATGATAAAACACTGAATCCTGTTTCATCATTCATACATTTTTTTAAATGTCACATTGGCCTTAAGAACCTGTTTGATTATCAGGGGAAATTCCAGAGAAAGGATGTGATTATCCTTGATATCCTGGCTTTTAACTATTGTCAGAAACAACCCTGCAAAGACAACAAATGTTCTAATCCTGAATATTTTGCTTTACTTCACTTTTGCCAAATATAATTCTTAACTTTTCTCAGCAACTGCAAAAAAAAAAAAAAACCCAATACAAAGTTAAAAGGATAAACTCTTAATGATTTTCTGTCGGATGAGACATAAAATCAAATTCAGTGTGTTCTGGCCTTGACTGTTGATGCTGAAAACATGGCTTGATGGGTCATGGGGAAAACTGTCTATTATCAGGTAAATAATCATAAATATTCTATTATTTCTATGCAGATGGAGCCTGTTAAAGTATTACATACACTAACTTTACTTTAGAGAGTGACAAACATTTATTCATATTTTAATATGCAGAGATACTCATTAAACATGTCTTTGTAGGTAAAAAGTATATTTTTTCCTTTTTAAGTTACCTAGATGTGTTTCAAACATTAGAAAAATAAACTCAGAATATTGTAAATCATATGTTTTTAGAATGACTCTAAGCAATTGTATTCTGTTTTTAATTTAAAACACAGTCCCTGAGATAAGCAAAGGCAGGTACAGATGGTTTGCTCGTCTTGGTTACCTTCCAGAAGAGGATGCTACAGTGTTTGCAGAAGTGCAACGTGTCGCCGTACTGCTCCTTCATTGGGTAATGCTTCTGCAGTGTGTAATACATCAGCTTCCAGTCCACGTTGTCATTCCTGGTCAGACCCAAACTCCTACAGTACTGTGTATAATCAGACGAAGCATGAAACAATTAAAAATCACAGAAGACTTAGAACTGGAGAAACTCCTAATTAACACCAATGTTTCTCAGTTAAGATTTATTTGGTTAATACTGCCCTCTAGTGGCTAATATGAAAATTGCGTTCTTTAGAAATGACTAAAACCAAACTAGTTCAAGCAATTCAAATCAGTTCCTTTTGGATGAGATCCAGATTTATCTTCCTCACCGGTTTGTCTGAGAAGTGAAACTGACAGAGTTTCTTCCACAGCGTTTTGTTCTCACTGAGGATGTGTAATGTCGGCGTGGCCTGACCCAGGTTGATGATATCGCAGGCGTCAGATAACTTGCAGAGGATCTTGCTCTGCATGTGCAGCGGCAGGTCGTTGAAAGTCATCCCGCTGTACATTTGCTATGGAAACAATAGAAATCATAATAATAATAATAAGGAACAACATTTTCTCTGTTTTGCACAGTTGCAACTGAGTCTGTAGGGTGATGGCTACCATGTTAAAATATAGGTAAAACCAAATATTAAAACCTTCTTTTAAGGTAGTAGCTTGCCTCTTACCTTTGGGATCTGCATATTGTTGAGCTCCTGCTGCCATTTAACAATAGTCTCCAGGCGGTTAAACCAGATATTTACGTTCCCTACGAGGACACACCTGCCAACATGGATGGTCAGACTGTGGAGTGTGGAGCTCAGGTCCTGCAGAAGCTCCTTAACAAGGCGTGGATTGTAGTGGTCCACTAGGACTGAAGTCAAAGTTGATATAATTAAAATATTTTATAATAATAAAAAAATAAAAATCTCACAGAAAACACAAGCAAAGACTAAATCTATCGATTTTAAAAGTTCAGAACAAATTTACTGACAAACCCATTTCTTTACATCCTGTTTTCAAAACAACTCTATCAAACTACACTAGAGATGATGATTTACAATAAGACACTACTAGAAACACTAATTCACACAGTCATCTAATTTAACATAGATTTGATCTAGGCCTGGACAGTAATTCAATACATATACATATATATATATATATATATATATATATATATGATTGCATTTATTAATTATTATATGACCATTTAATATTTTTCAATATACATTACAGTCAAATGCTGCACCATGTATCACCAACACACATTACAGGATTCATGCATGTTGTTTTGTAAAGCAAATACTTTTAAAATGTTATATTAAAGGAGTTAAAAACATTGCAAAGCAATTGCCATAAGTTTGTAGGGATCATTTTGGCAGTCTATTTAAAGGCTTTTATTTTGTTTATATGCACATTGAAATTATATCACATTGACCAAAATAAAGACATTTATTTTCAAGAATTTATTTTATTTTGATATAAATTTTAGCCATTATTTTCATCTGATTTGAAAACCAAAAAAAAAAGAGAATACACAACCACCTTTTCTGCTGATTTAAAAATGAGGGGTCAGATTTTCCACAAAAGGTCATCCTCTCATTTGGTGGTCATTATACAAATAATTATCCATCCATCCATCCATCCATCCATCATCCATCCATCCATCCATCCATCATCCATCCATCTTCCTCCGCTTATCCGGGGTCGGGTCGCGGGGGCAGCAGCTTAAGAAGGGAGGCCCAGACTTCCCTCTCCCCAGCCACTTCTTCCAGCTCTTCAGGAGGAACCCCAAGGCATTCCCAGGCCAGCCGAGAAACATAGTCTCTCCAGCGTGTCCTGGGTCTTCCCCGGGGCCTCCCCCCGGTGGGACGTGCCCGAAACACCTCACCAGGGAGGCGTCCAGGAGGCCTCCTAAACAGATGCCCAAGCCACCTCAACTGGCTCCTCTCGACGTGGAGGAGCAGCGGCTCTACTCCGAGTCCCTCCCGGATGACCGAGCTTCTCACCCTATCTCTAAGGGAGAGCCCAGCCACCCTACGGAGGAAACCCATTTCGGCCGCTTGTATCCGCGATCTCGTTCTTTCGGTCATGACCCAGAGTTCATGACCATAGATGAGGGTAGGAACGTAGATCGACCGGTAAATCGAGAGCTTCGCTTTTTGACTCAGCTCTCTCTTCACCACGACAGACCGGTACAGCGCCCGCTTCACGGCAGATGCTGCACCAATCCGCCTGTCGATCTCCCGCTCCCTTCTTCCCTCATTCGTGAACAAGATCCCAAGATACTTAAACTCCTCCACTTGGGGCAGGACACCCCCCCGACCCGGAGAAGGCACTCTACCCTTTTCCGGCACAAGACAATGGCCCCGGTTTGGAGGCACTGATCCCCATCCCTGCCGCTTCACACTCGGCTGCGAACCGATCCAGCGAGAGCTGCAGATACCGACCTGATGAAGCCAACAGGACCACATCATCTGCGAAAAGCAGAGACGCAATCCTAAGGCCACCAAAACGGATCCCCTCAACACCTTGGCTGCGCCTAGAAATTCTGTCCATGAAGGTAATGAACAGAATCGGTGACAAAGGGCAGCCCTGGCGGAGTCCAACTCTCCCCGGAAACGAGCCCGACTTACTGCCGGCAATGCGGACCAGACTCTGACACCGGTCATACAGGGACCTGACAGCCCGTATCAAAGGGCCCGGCACCTCGTACTCCCGGAGAACCCCCCACAGGGCCCCCCGAGGGACACGGTCGAATGCCTTCTCCAAGTCCACAAAGCACATGTAGACTGGTTGGGCGAACTCCCATGCACCCTCCAGGACCCTGCTGAGGGTATAGAGCTGGTCCAGCGTTCCACGACCAGGACGGAAACCACACTGCTCTTCCTGAATCCGAGGTTCGACTATCCGACGGACCCTCCTCTCCAGCACCCCCGAATAGACCTTGCCGGGGAGGCCTAAGAGTGTGACTCCCCTGTAATTGGAGCACACCCTCCGGTCCCCCTTTTTGAATAGGGGGACCACCACCCCAGTCTGCCAATCCAGGGGGACTGCCCCCGATGTCCATGCAATGTTGAAGAGTCGCGTCAGCCAACACAACCCTACAACATCCAGGACCTTGAGGAACTCCGGGCGGATCTCATCCACCCCCGGGGCCCTGCCACCGAGGAGCTTTTTAACCACCTCGGCGACCTCGCCCACAGAGATTGGAGAGCCCAGTCCAGAGTCCCCAGGCCCAGCTTCCTCAATGGAAGACATGTTGGTGGGATTGAGGAGGTCTTCGAAGTATTCCGCCCACCGACCCACAACGTCCCGAGTCGAGGTCAGCAGCACACCATCCCCACTATAAACAGTGTTGGTGCTGCACTGCTTCCCCCTCCTGAGACGCCGGATGGCGGACCAGAATCGCTTCGGAGCCGTGCGGAAGTCTTTCTCCATGGCCTCTCCAAACTCCTCCCACACCCGAGTTTTTGCCTCAGCAACCATCCGAGCCGCATGCCGCTTCGCCCGCCGGTACCCATCAGCTGATTCCGGAGTCCCACAGGCCAAAAAGGCCCGATAGGCCTCCTTCTTCAACCTGACAGCATCCCTCACCGGAGGTGTCCACCAACGGGTTCGAGGGTTGCCGCCACGACAGGCACCGACAACCTTGCGGCCGCAGCTCAGATAAGCCGCCTCGACAATGGAGGAACGGAACATGGTCCACTCGGACTCAATGTCCCCCACCTCCCCCGGGATGTGTTTGAAGTTCTGCCGGAGATGGGAGTTAAAGCTCCGCCTAACAGGGGACTCGGCCAGACGTTCCCAGCAGACCCTCACAACACGTTTGGGCCTGCCAGGTCTGACCGGCATCCTCCCCCACCACCGGAGCCAACTCACCACCAGGTAGTGGTCAGTGGAAAGCTCAGCACCTCTCTTCACCCGAGTGTGCAAGACATACGGCCGCAAGTCCGATGAAACGATGACAAAGTCGATCATCGAACTGCGGCCTAGGGTGTCCTGGTGCCATGTGCACATATGGACACCCTTATGCTTGAACATGGTGTTCGTTATGGACAATCCATGACGAGCACAGAAGTCCAACAACAGAACACCACTCGAGTTCAGATCAGGGCGGCCATTCCTCCCAACCACGCCCCTCCAGGTCTCACTGTCATTGCCCACGTGATTGTTGAAGTCTCCCAGCAGAACAAGGGAGTCCCCAGGAGGGGCACCCTCCAGTACCCCCTCTAAGGACTCCAAGAAGGGTGGGTAATCTGAACTGTTGTTCGGCCCGTAAGCACAGACAACAGTCAGAACCCGTCCCCCCACCCGTAGGCGGAGGGAGGCTACCCTCTCGTTCACCGGGGTAAACCCCAACGTACAGGCGCCGAGATGGGGGGCAACAAGTATGCCCACTCCTGCCCGGCGCCTCTCACCGTGGGCAACTCCAGAGTGGAAGTATGTCCAGCCCATCTCAAGGAGACTGGTTCCAGAACCAGAACCATGCGTTGAGGTGAGACTGACTATTTCTAGCCGGAACCTCTCAGCCCCACACACTAGCTCCGGCTCTTTCCCCACCAGCGAGGTGACATTCCACGTCCCGAGAGCCAGCTTCTGCAGCCGAGGATCGGACCGCCAGGGTCCCCTCCCCCGGCCGCCACCCAACACACATTGCACCCGACCCCTATGGCCCCTCTCACGGGTGGTGGGCCCATGTAAGGGGGGACCCATGTTTCCTCTTCGGGCTGAGCCCGGCCGGGCCCCATGGGTAAAAGCCCGGCCACCAGGCGCTCGCCATCGTGCCCCCCCTCCAGGCCTGGCTCCAGAGTGGGGCCCCGGTGACCCGCGTCCGGGCGAGGGAACGCTGAATCCAAATATTGTAGTCATCATAAGGGTCTTTGGGCTTTATTATAATTATATAATGACTATATTTTAGTTTAAAAAAAAACTATATTATTTTGTGGGTTGCCAAATGAAATGAAGAAAAACTTTTTAAGAAGGATTTACAGGACTGAATGTGTTCCTATGGAAACACTTCTTAATTGCAAAGCTTTTGCAACATGATTCTTTGAATCCGGAGGTTATAAATTTAAATATCACAGGAAATGTTCACTGGATCTGCTGCAATTGTGAAATTAATTGACCAAAATTAGTGGCCTCCATTTACAATGCTTTATGGGTCTGTTAGCATCAGCATGCATCTGGTGCAATCGGCTCTGAATCCAGTGCAGATATAAAGCAAATTGAGGAGACTGCTGTGCTTCTTTAACTCCAAATTCTGCTTTCTTTTTCCTTTACCATACAACTGAAACCAAAACCTAAGATTCAATTTCAGATCCTTAGTAGAACTGCAGGTATGAAATAGCTATAAACCCCCTCAATGCAAATGCCAGCTCCACCTACCCTTGCGTACAATCTTCTCCAGTATATTAAAATAGTTCTTCTGGGCAGCTCCACTCAAAGACGTTAACTGAGACCTGGCAATCAGCTGGAAAAGCTGTGGGAAACAGGAGGAAAAAGATTAGAAGAGTAACAAGTTAGAACATGAAATAAAGGAGCCTATAGGTGGTATTAGCTGCTCACCTTGGCAACATAGTTAAATCTTCGCAAATCTTGAATAGAGCTGGAAAAGTCTAGTCGGTTAAGAGCTTCCCCAAGTGTGCAGTAACCGTGTCGCTGTTGGCACATAAGAACAAGGAAGAGTTAACAGCCAGCGTAGTAAGGAATTAAAATAGAAGATTAAAAAAGGCTGCATACTTTAACTTGAAAACATTACAGTGAAAAAACGTTGTTAGGACTCACTTCCTTTGTGCTCTCTTTCTGCACGTAGATCCATTTATCCCTGAAAACAACTAAGATAGAAAACATATACGGTATTAATTGGTTGTCAATTAATCTGCACAATCTGCACACCTCTACAGGGAAACTATGAGTTAAGTTAAACAGAAAAATAAATAAGCAGCAAGAATGCTTTAATTTGCTATCGTTTCTCAAACAGATATTTAATCAGTTATTGGTAACTGGTGTTTATTTTAAAAAGGGAGATTTTCAAAAAAATGTCACTGCGGCTCTGGAACAACAATTATACATATTGTGCAATATTTACCAGAATCAGAATTAAGTTAATTTATTACTATTATTATTATTATAGCCTTTTCTAAAACTAAAATATCCTTTTTTGGAGTACAGAACTAGATATGTGCCATAACCTTTAGAGTGTTGCTCTTGTGTGACAGAGTAAACCCAATTTGTTTTTTTTCCCCCTGTCTGTTTTGCCCTATTTCTCTCTGTGATACCAACTGCCTTTTAATCTGCCTTTAATGAAATAAAAAAAAAAGTTTATTGCCAAATATGATAAGGATTTATGAAAATATTTAACCAAATCCCATTTTACTGTCACATCAAAATCACCCACAGAAAAAAGGCGTTTTTTCTACGTATGTATTCTATATTTATATATGTAAAAAAAAAAAAAAAATCACTGCTACTGACACCTTTTAAAATCCCAAACAATGTATAATAAATTATGCCTACTTCTTCTTTTTTTTTACATTCATTATCGTAGTAACTTTTAATTAGTAATCTATGACTTTCTGTTTAGGTGGACATGACAGAGACTTTGTTCTTTAAGCAAAAAGGTTGAAGCTCTGATGTTGCAGCCATGCACAGTGAGAAGGGAGGTATGGGAGGTGAAAGGCTAATTGACAGGAAATCATGACCAGATAGGGGATACTAGCTGTTTTGGAGCAATACCAGAACAAATACCTTTCTGTCGAACCTTCACTCTTTCACTTAAGATTACATATTGCATTCTATTCTGCATTACTGCAAAAAAAGAGTAGTATGATTGACCCAGGGTAGCAATAAGGATGGAATGAACTGTCAACGCAAACACCATCTGTTATTGCGTGACCTGCAGGTCCTGCATTCAGCATTCAAAGACTCCCCACTAAGCCCACACAGTCTGAAACTCACACTGGGATTTGGTATTATTGTTGTAGAACTCCTTCTTCCTCTTGGTGTTGGCGAGCTCGCATACCTCTCCGACAAACAGATTTTCATTGTCGTCACTGCAGAGCCTGTTCACACAGAGGAAACGGATTTTGTATGAGGTGGATAATAGAGGATACAGGTTTGACTAGAAGGTAAACTGTAATTACAGACTGCTGTGAAAAGTCTGCTGTACCTAGAGGGAAAAAGCTGCTACATATAAGTTTATACAATCAGGATAAACTGTTGTACCTCAGCTTAGGTTGAAGCCAAAGAAAATGACAGAGATATGCATTGCTAGCTCCGTGTGGCTGCGAGCTTTGAGGAAACATAAAAAAAAGAGAGGGAAGTGATAATGAGTCACTGTGTCTGCAGGACAGGGAGACGCTGCACATGGCAGACATACATTAGACTCTGAGAAAATGTGACTCAGTCTTTTCTCAGACAGCAGGCAAAACATGTCAAATAAAGAGCCACAAACATTAACAGCTCCATTGTGCCAGAAATAACAAGCATCTATCTGTTCTTTGTTGTTTCTGGAACACATTTCAGAGCAGCAACATTGTTTTTTTGTTGTTGTTTTTTTTTAAACAATCTTAATGCTTTGGCATCTGACCTTAACTTGTCATCAGCTGTTATTTAAAAAGCCACAACAGGGAATATCTCACATGTATTGAATAGAAATATGAAGCTAGCAGAGAATCTCTTGTTATTTCTGCTCTATATTTCACGTTCACTTCTGCCTCTCAACACGTAAAGCTGGTCAGCTACAAATCTAAGACATTTTTACATGATCAGGTTAAAAATAAAGCCCAACTACTTTTATATCATCTGTATTTTCCTCTGGATATAAGTTTAAGGAATCACATTTCAAAATGTAACACTTTTTAAGATTCGATTATTTCACAGGTTTTACCAAACTTTACAGGCAACCAGAAAGGTTGTTTTGTTTCAAGCATAAAGGCTCTAAATATAAAAAAGAGTTGCACATTTTCAGAAAAATATCAAATTACAAAGTCTTGATTTCAGGACTTTAAATCAAATCCACTCTCCACGAGATAAATGGATGTTAGAACCCATTCAGCTGGCTAAATGCAATACATATGGAGAACATCAACACATAAAATTTGAAATATTATACACCACCCTAACATATCTTCCAAACAGAATTTTGGGACATAATAATTAGTAAAACTATGTTTAAATTGTAAAACTATTAATACTCAGCTGACAGAAGCTTATAGTATAGCATTATAGCCAACTTGACCACACAGATTTTCATATTTTCCATTGTTCAATATTTTCCCAGGCAAAATATCCAACATATACATATGTCAGGTGTAAACATGCAAAGTTCTCTTTTTGTCTTTTTGCGTAATGTTTTTTTTCTTTATTTATGGGCACATATGTATTGAAACATCATTAGTTGAACTTTTTTATTTTTTTTAGTCAAACTTTTTTTAATGTTCTTTTTTGTTTCTGCATTTTTTTTTCCTACTTGCTTTGATTCTGTTTTATTTTCCTATATTTAAATCATGTAAAGTACTTTGCATTGTCTTTGTACTGAACTGTGCTATACAAATAAATTTGCCTTGCCTTGCCTTGCCATATAAGGGAAGATTATATAGGGAAGATTATTTTCATTATTGTATCTTTTAAAGCTACAGTGTGTAATTTTCAGCGACATCTAACGTCCAGACTGCAGACCCCAGCAACATGAACATCTCCCCCCCCCCGCTTCTCCCCCCCAACAGTATGGCGAGCGTTACGGGACAAAATGTCTTCAACGACGTCCGCATCACCTACCTTCTCAAGTGATGAGGTTTGTTTACATAGATAATTTTACAGATAGTATTTCATTAGTCTGTGTAGGGTAGAGAGTTCAGTACCATCTCAGTTTATCTCTCTCAACTTGCCGTAGTTACTTTCGAGCGTAATGGGTGATCTCGCAATCGCTAGTTTGTTGGCTCTGCGCTGCCGTAGCGCAAAGATGTCTGCCTCCATGGCTGCGAGACCCGCTCCTATGTAATTATAAATATCGAATTCTAAGGCAACGCAAATATTAAGGTTAAGAGGCTTAGCTCGTAGATGATGATAAATAACATAGTTATGTATAATACATTACATTTTTGACTGTATATCCCTGTAATTATTACACACTGTAGCTTTAAACTGTGCAAGAAAAATGAGCCCTGCTATAAAGGTCTTCAAATGTCTTTGATTGTGACTGAGAAGACAAAAAAATACATTCATTTTCACTCTGAGCATTTTAAACATATCTGTACACTTACGAGCTGGACTTGAAAAAACAAAACGAAATTTGATTTTTCAGCAAAAGCAGTGCAGAAACGTCTTCTGGTGCTGCTTCTCATTCAAATGGATAAGGAATCCTTTTTTTTAAAAAACTGATCGATAGTAAAACATTGCGAAGCCTCATGATGGATTGGTGACCTGTCCATGGTGGATGCCGCCTTTCTACCAATAACTGCTGGAGATACTTCACCAGCCTCCTGACACCTAGCTGTAAGACAAAAGAAGGTTGATTGTTTTAATTTCATCCCATACTTTTAGGTACGTGAGGGAGTCATACACCACAGTGTTGTATACTAATCATATGTTGGTTTTTATTTAGCTTTTTCCTCATACTAGCTTTGACAAGCAGTGACTTAAAATTTGAAAGGTTTAGTGTAGGGCTGCAACTAACGATTATTTTAAAAATCGATGAATTTTTAAAATTCATCGATTTTTTTATATTAACCTCTTTATTCCAAAATAAACATTTTAGACAGAACAAACAAGCCCACAAGTACAGGTTGCTCATTAACTGTACTGGTGCAATATGAAAAATAAATGTTTGTGTAAAAACTACGCAAACTTACATGAGAAATGTAGCTGTACATCCACAAAATATAGGCTACTTTGTTTCATAAAGCGCAAAAAGAGACAGGCATTTTTGTTTTTTAAAGCCCCTAAGGGGTTCAAACAATAGGTCCCCCCATTTCAACAAATGAGTTTTTTTAGACTAGAAGAGTTCTGCCTTTTAAGACAGGAAAGTATAGCAGTTAAAGTTGCTGCTTGAGAAAATACTGAACCATAGAGATAAAAATAGCCCTGTGATTCAAATTATAAATTGTATTTGGAATAAAAATGACACATCCTCCAAAGACAGATATTTACATGGGAATGTGGCAGATAATTAATTGACATATTACTGATCTTGCTGGATTTTGTTCTGCTTTACTTCCATAAATTGCAGGATCTTCTTTTCTTTATCTTTGCCAGAAGATTTAAACTTTAAAAGCCTTGCCCTCATAATTTGCAAGTTAATTTATTTATAAAGAAAATATAAACGCTGCTTAAACAAATTTAAATGAAATTAAAAGTAAAATAAGTAGCCAACCTTATCACTGTCTGTAACCTACTAACAAGGTAAGGAAAGCATCAGATGAGCTACCTGAGAAACTAACGTTACGTTTCCCCACTTTAAAATGAAACAAACACGGTTACTCATCCTGCTGATCAGCTCTCTTCACTGCCATTGAAGGCTCCAACGTGTTTTCTTTTCAGGTGCTGCGTCATAACAGTGGTGCTTCCGTGCCATGTTCATTTGTTTTTACAAAAGTTGCATGTTACGACTTTTTTCACTTTACAAAGCGCCGGCTATTTTAATTATTGTGATCAATTTGCGCCGTCAATCCCGGCGCATGCGCGCTTCATTTGCAGTCTGGACGCTGAGGGTTAACTCCTCACTAAAATCCTGCGGCTCTGACTGAGAGGGATTCCTGTGGGAGAGGGAAAAAGGCGTTGGGATGGGGGAGGCGCCCCAAGGCAGGCAAAAGCCGCCAGTGACACCGTAAAAAGTCGCCAGATTTTTCGCTAGTCGCTTTTTTGAAAAATAGTCGCTGGAGGGGTCTGAAAAGTTGCTGAGTTGGCAACACTGCAACTGCGGCGCTGACTCGCTCCGCCATATTTTTTTTTCTTCCCCCGGTTGACGGCGGCGGCGGATGACGCATTAATCGCGCGACACAACTAATCGATGATTAAATTCGTTACCAACGCTTTTAAAAGTCGATTTTTATCGATTTTATCGATTCGTTGTTGCAGCCCTAGTTTAGTGGAAAATGTTCTTTTCCTGGTGGATCACCAAAATCAGTGGTCCTCGTAATTGTCAATCATTCTGGTGATATGTTTACATAAGGCCGTCCTACGTGCTCGTCCCCGTTTTCACTTACCGGTGGTGAGTCTGACATATTGGAAAAACTGCAAATTTTCTTTCGGAAACTAAGCTTGTATGAGGGATGCAAACATCAAATTTTAAACAGAGCGTGCACGAGGAGAAATGGACTTGTGCATGCTATTGCACATGTTTAATAGGCGTTGCCTCTCAGGAGTGGGTACAGGGTTGTGCATGTGCATTTTTTTTTTTAAAGTGGAGACGACAGGTCTTTTCAAAAACATTAGCAAGAAATCCCCCAATATACCTTTAATTCACTGGTTGATTTTAATTTCACTTGGTTCTTTTATATTCTACCAAATCATAATTAATGTAGGTAAAAGACACTCTTTAAAAACAAAACACCCCCTTGTATACGGACCGACTAAACTTAATCCAACCAGACCGACTGAATAAAGTCAATCACAGTCTATTAGGCAATTTGGTTAAAGTATTCTATCTGACAACACCCCAGGGTTTCATATAAGTAACTCTGCAAAGCATCAGAGCGTTTAACAAGATCATGAATAAAGTATGATGCTTAATGTTACTTGGGAAGACAGCAGACAGTGTATGCCTGTGCTAACTCTCAGTCACCCAGGTCATGGCAACCACAAAACAGGCTTAAATCAGAGGAAAGTTTTTCTGAAAACGTTTTAACACCTACCCAGAAGCCTTGGTCAACCCGACGGAAATGACTCAGACATCAGGTGTCAATACCTTTCCAGAAAAACATGTCTCTAATTTCAGCCTGCTTTGTAGCACAATGAAGCTGCATTCACTGCAACCTTGTTTGAAACGGTTTACAGAGTAACTAAAAGATAAGGATTTCAGACCTGACCTCAACCACATTGCAAACACTTATTTCTGTTGTGTGAATTCACAAGCTTTCAGAGTGGGGCTAGCTTTGGAGAGCAGCCAGTAGAGTGATGTCATTGGTTATTGTCTGAGGCTACATGGTGTGGTGCTGTGAGTCACTGTTAGCTGACCGATCAATACAAAAGGACAGAGTGGGATCTGAGAGAGATGTCACCAGTTTTTGCTGTATTACTGAAACTGTCACTGTGAAGTCAACTATTGGGCCATCTACTGTTTACAGAGATGCATCATTGATATATGGCGTGCTAGGTGCCAGCAAGTCTAAAGAAAAAAAAAATGCATATATCAACAAGAAAGTATTTTCTATGTAACACAAAGCAAGGCTGGGTATTAAATCTGACATCTGTGGTCACTGCGTTGAGGTATATGTTTCATTTCAATTTCTTTGGATGTAGTTTAATAACAAGGAAGCAAAACTGATCAGATCTAGGATTCATGATGGACAACTGCTCACAAATTAGGGAAACTTTCTCACAGCATGCTTTTTTGTTTAAACACAGAAACAAAAATCCAGAGTAATGATCATTTCTTCATCTCTGTTCCATAGAAATTCTGAAGAACATTCTAAGACAGTCCAAGTTTCTGTGGCTGCGCTGAATTTGTGGCTAAGAAGCACATTAAACTAAATACGTCTCAAATAAAGGAAAACTATGAGTCAGATCACATGCAGGGGAAAACAGTAATCATCCCTCCAAGTACAGTATCGGGGAAAAAAACTACATCGCTTCTGGTTCTCCTATAGGTAAACCGTTAAACCCAGCCTATCTGGCTACAGAGAAAAATGGTTATCTCTAAATGGAACGCTGGTTCAACTGACCCAGAAATAGCATTAACATTGGTTTTAATTCTGCTTTTTGTACCAGCACACACCAACAAACAATTATTGACCATGCATTTGTAAAATACTTTGACTGTCAAAGTCGTATGGAATTTATATTTAAAATTTAAACCAGTCTGGTTTAAACATGTATATATTTATCAGACCATATTGTCCCAAATGTTAGAACATTTCTATAAAAAAAATCCTGTCTTAAAATCTGTGGCGTTTTTTGTTATTTTATGCAGGCCAGTTAGTTATACGTCAGCCTGTACACCTAAATTCGACCAATCATATATCAACGTTCATCTGTCAATCAAATTTTTTCAGTCATAGCATCCTGATTCATGTGTCGCAGCTAATATACGCAACGGCTGAAATAAGACATAAGAATCATTTCCTTTCCCAATAAGTTCTGTCCCAGTTTTCATGGCGATGGACATCTGTGTCTTCAGCAGGCGTAGAGCTAACAGAACTGGCAGCGTTAGGCTCAAACATGTACGGCTGGAAGCCTTCTACACCAAACCAAGCTTCTGCCGCCTGGTGTCCTCTTCCACAACAACTTCATCCCTGCTTTCCTCCTCTAAATAAAAAATGAATGACGGAGGAGACTCATCCACTTCCGACACAAAACTCTCCTCTTGCATGTTTCCACTGTTCATAGCGTTCCTTGACAGTGTCGTTGCTAAGCGCTACTTGGTCTCAATGTAATTTCCCATTGGGAACCTACTAGCACTAAGTTGCTAACTGTTTAGCAATAATGCTTTGAAGAAACCGGCCACAACCAAATTTGCTTGTGAACTTTCCGCCACAACAATCCCACCTCTTTGATAATTGACCAATCACATTCACTTTATTCACTCGTGTAAAGTCGGGCACCACTCGGGAGAAATGCAACGGTTGGAAGAGCCGCTTCCCTACGATTGTAAGATAATTTCAGCTTCACCCTGGTAGTACTGGGCTGGACCTGTCACCTTAAGCATTTGTAGTAGAGACCTAATTCCGTTCCTGATTAGCAGGTGGTTCTGCAAACCCAATTAGATGCCAAATGTTGTTTTTAGAGCAGTATTTCTGTTGTTTTACAGTTCTTATACGAAGTGACAAAATGTACAACCAAAAAATATATATTTTTAATGCAATTATGACACAAAACACCAAAGAATATAGTGATTGAACCTTTGCTCTACATTGTCCATCCCTGATACAAATGTGTCAAAAGAATATCCCCATCACAATTAAACCACTACCAGTGACCTGAACTGTTGCTCCAAGGCGGTTTAAAGTTCTCTTGCTGTTTTTGCCAATTTTGATTCCTCCATTTGAATGGTTTGGGACAAAAGTTACATAATACTCTGCAAGCAGGAAAAATCCTTGCCTCATTTAAAAAAAAAATACGTTTCTCAACTTGCTCAACTTTTTCTGTTTTCATAATGACTTCCTAGCCAAAACAGGCACCGACTTCAGCATGAAGATTATTAAAGGTGCCCCGATCCAGTTTTTTCCCATCCAATACAATAGGATCCCCAGATTGATTTTTAAAAACGCTGTATCGATCTATTTTACTTTCAAAATCTCGTGAAATTTCATCGTTGTTACAAATTCTTGTGATATTTTGCAAATTCTTGTGAGATTATGTTAGTAAAATAGATTGATACCGCGTCAATATATCAACATATAAAAATAGGGCAAAATTTTGTGAATTTTTGGGGGATTTCGTAGCATAACGATGACATATAGCAATATTTCATTAGTAAAAGAGATTAATATGGTTTTTTTAAATGGCAATATATCAGCATATGAAGATATTGTGATATTTTAATGTATCAATATTTTTTCCCTCGTCTTTAGAAGTTTTTAAGTGTGTAAAAAAGAAGTTTTTGAGGAAGAAGAAGAAGTAGTATTTATTTTTATTTTTTTTTAGACTTTAGAAACTCAAAAGCTGATCAAATATCGGGTTAAATATCGGTGGGGTGGCCGATGTCCGATATTCAGTTTTAAGGCCGATACCGATAGGGGGCCGATTATATCGTGCATCCCTAGTTGAACACATTGGCCGATATCTGATACTGTTCTGATTCACTTTTGTCATGTGAGTGAAGACTTAAGCCTTGACATAAACATTGTTAAAAAAGGTAACAAATTTACACCGCTATAAATGTATTTTGTATTTCTTATTAGCCAATAAGCAGCAAAAAATTAAATACATAAATTACAGTTCCATGTAAAGTGGAATGGCTTGGATCTCCGGTATCTGAAATCAAATCATAAATATCTGAGCTGTTATCTGGTCCAGGTATCGAATCAAGTTATAGGCTAAATTTTTTTTAGCCCTGACAAAAACTGGCTAAAAGGTTTCCTGCAATCAGAAGTTTTTCTTTCAGCTGTTTTAATTTTTTTTGTTTATTTTAATATGCAACTCTGTAACAGATTTTTATATCTGCTAGGTTCACATTTTAAAAAATCCTGAAAGGCCATCCATACATCAGGCAAAAACAACAATATGAGAGTTCATTTGAGTGTTAAAGCAAATTAAATGTACAATGTGTAAGAAAACAGTATCTTTAATTGAGAATCTAAATGTGGGTGGTCGTCTGAGGGTTGGAGATACTGACCATGTAAACACAGCATAACTTCCAGTTGATCTCTGTCATTAATTTCCTGTCTGCTCTTTTCTTGATTTACTTTCACATTGAGGAAATTAATCCTTTTAAGAAAGCATTCTAGACTGTTTAGAAGCCAACAAGTATCTCACAAAAAAAAAAATCTATATTTTCAGAGAGTGTTGGCAGCCAGTCAAGCAGCTGTTGACCTCTACTACTATACATTAATAGTCTTTATGTCAAAACTTTCTTTATGTCAGAATTATTGATTATCTAAGATCAAAGCTTCACTTGGCTGCAGCGGTTTTCAATTTAACTCAACAAACTCAAATGCAAAAAAGTTTAGGGCATTGTTTTATAGCTACATCACTAGAAAAAAACGCTTACTGTAAGGTCATTCATTCAAAGCAGCATGAAGTCTTTAGGGAGATGAATCCTTTTCTCAAGAAAATCTCAATGTCAAATATAAACTTCTTAATTTATCAAAAAAATTGAAAAAAAAAATATTGCTCAAGTTGGTTAGGGCCTTAATATTATTTGTTTTAATCAAAAAATTGTCAACAGTGCACATAAATACTTCTATATCTTTGTTAGTTATTAGTGCAGGCAGATATATCAAATGTGGAGCATTATTGGCTAAACAGATGTTTGAAAATTAGCAACAGTGATAGTAAAGACAAAAATAGGGCTGGTAACAAAGAAACAATTTCTGATCTTACTCTTTTAGGTCTATGTCTTTGTTGTTGTCCTCGAGCTCATGTCCAAAGAAAACTATCCTCTTCCAGCCGTGGTCTGTCTTAGTCCAACTCCACCCAGGCGACCTCCAGTCTTTGCCTAAGAAAGGCATTTTAACTGGGGAGATAAGGACTTTGAGCAGAGAAGAGCTGAAGCCACGGTGAAAACCTAAAGGATTAATAAGTAAAAGGAATTCATCTCTAGGCTGCAGACTGGACATCAGAAAAGTTATAAATGTCTGAAAGATTGTCTTGATGCTATTTGCTGCTTTGTTAGACCTATTCCCTGATAAAAACCACAGCAGCACATGTATGAAGCCTTAAGTACAGGAAAATCAGCCGTATTTTTCCACTAAAGCAATCCTTGGGCTTCAGTAATTCAGAAGGATGTCAGGCTCTTACATTGTGTTTGTAGATTTAAAATCTAAACTAGGGATTCCCAAACTAGCAGGGAGCGGAGAATGGTTTTCACAATCATTGTGATAGCGTTATATGAGGTACAGGTGCTGGTCATAAAATTAGAATATCATGAAAAAGTAGATTGATTTCAGTAATTCCATTTAAAAAGTGAAACTTGTATATTATATTCATACATTACATACAAACTCATATATTTCAGATGTTTATTTTGTTTAATTTTGATGATTACAAATGACAACAAATGAAAATCTCAAATTCATCATATCAGAAAATTAGAATATTACTGAAGACCAATAAAAACAAAGGATTTATAGAAATGTTGGCCAACTGAAAAGTATGAACATGAAAAGTATGAGCATGTACAGCACTCAGTATTTAGTTGGGCCTCCTTTGGCCTGTATTACTGCAGCAATGCGGCGTGGCATGGAGTCGATCAGTCTGTGGCACTGCTCAGGTGTTATGATAGCCCAGGTTGCTCTAATAGTGGCTTTTAGCTCTTCTGAATTGTTGGGTCTGGTGTATTGCATCTTCTTCTTCACAATACCCCATAGATTTTCTATGGGGTTAAGGTCAGGAGAGTTTGCTGGCCAATTAAGAACAGGGATACCATGGTCCTTCAACCAGGTACTGGTAGCTTTGGCACTGTGTGCAGGTGCCAAGTCCTGTTCGAAAATGAAATCTGCATCTCCAAAAAGTTGGTCAGCTGCAGGAAGCATGAAGTGCTCTAAAACTTCCTGGTATGTGGCTGCGTTGACCCTGGACCTCAGAAAACACAATGGACCAACACCAGCAGATGACATGGCACCCCAAACCATCACTGACTGTGGAAACTTTACACTGGACTTCAAGCAACGTGGATGAAGTGCCTCTCTTCTTTTCCTCCAGACTCTGGGACCTTGATTTCCAAAGGAAATGCAAAATTTACTTTCATCAGAGAACATGACTTTGGTCCTGTTTCTCTTTAGCCCAGGCAAGACGCTTCTGACGCTGTCTGTGGTTCAAGAGTGGCTTGACACAAGGAATGCGACAGCAGAAACCCATGTCTTTCATACGTCTGTGTGTGGTGGTTCTTGAAGCACTCACTCCAGCTGCAGTCCACTCTTTGTGAATCTCCCCCACATTTTTGAAGGGGTTTTGTTTCACAATCCTCTCCAGGGTGCGGTTATCTCTCTTGCTTGTACACTTTTTTCGACCACATCTTTTCCTTCCCTTCGCCTCTCTATTAATGTGCTTGGACACTGAGCTCTGTGAACAGCCAGCCTCTTTAGCGATGACCTTTTGTGTCTTGCCCTCCTTGTGCAAGGTGTCGATGGTCGTCTTTTGGACAACTGTCAAGTCAGCAGTCTTCCCCATGATTGTGTAGCCTATAGAACTAGACTGAAAGACCATTTAAAGGCTTTTGCAGGTGGTTTGAGTTAATTAGCTGATTAGAGTGTGGCACCAGGGGCCATCAATTTTGAACCTTTTCACAATATTCTAATTTTCTGATATGATGAATTTGAGATTTTCATTTGTTGTCATTTGTAATCATCAAAATTAAACAAAATAAACATCTGAAATATATGAGTTTGTATGTAATGTATGAATATAATATACAAGTTTCACTTTTTAAATGGAATTACTGAAATCAATCTACTTTTTCATGATATTCTAATTTTATGACCAGCACCTGTATATGGAGGGCCAAAATATATAATGAAGCACATAGAGGTGAATGTCCCATGAAATAAACAAAAAAAAAGTACCATTAAATAATAATTATATTAAAAAAATAAAAAAAATACATGTTATACAGCAAATTGAATAACTAAATGTCTTTGGAATATATATACATATATTCAGAAATGTATGTCATTACTTCACTTTATGTATAAAGAAATATCAAGAAAGTAATTAAGAGAATATGAATTTTTTAAGAGCCTGCCAGGCTGAAATGTTTGGGAACTTGTTCTAGACAGATAAACTAGTTAATTGTGTAATACCACTAGCTGCAAACCTTTTGTGTATTATTGTTTTAATAAAAGCGATGTAATTTTAATGCATTATATCCAATAACCTACATTTTAGCAAATGCAATTTTTGCATTTGAATATCTCCATTATCTCTTAGCATTGTGTTCATATTATAAACATGATTGTTTTTAAACGATGAAGTTACAGAAAAAAGAAGTCTTCTTTATACAGATGAAGGATGAAACGCTAATAAAAAAACTTAAAAGTCACTTATCTTTTAAACATTTCCACAATGTTGCCTTACTCTTTCTGAATGCATTAAATAAAATACTGATAATTTTAGGTGTCTAAATGAAAAAGTAACACATTTCTTTATTAAGTTTTAGAAAAATTAGGATTTGCATAAGAAAATCGAAGCTTTTCAAACTGTAATTTCTTTATATTATTAATAGATATTAATTCATTCAGTAGTTAAACTGAACTAAACGACTTGTTATTCGTTTACTTTTAATTTACATGAGAATTTTCAGAAAATACACCAATAGTATTAAGGATGTTTAAAGTATAAGCATACAGAGAATATACTACATAAGTAGATATTTGTTTACATCTATACTCACTTTTCAGGCTGCTAGGCCATTTGGATTGTATAATCTTTGAGTAATAAAGCAATGATTATGGGTTAACAGAAAAAATTTGTTAAACAGTAGTTATTTTCGGAGTCATGGCGTTGCAGCAGAGGCAGCCTGCACTGCTGGACGGTATAACGTCTAAAAACTGAAGATGTCACTCGGTTTAACTTGCTTATACAGATGACAGATTGAGTGAATACCCTTAACAGCTGCATCCTTCAGCTGTGGGTTTCTAAAAATAGCAAACAAACCTTAATATCCACGAAGTCTCCTTGTGGCTGGACTGTTTCTTTCTCTCAGCTCTTTTCCTTTTTGTGCTGGAAATATTGACGGAAGTAAACAGTGTATTGTAGAAACCGAGAGTTAGTTCACGCCCCCTCCTGCTTTCTTATTGGACGATATCTTCCTATTTATGCAGTTGCTACCCGGAGCAACGCATCTGATTGGACAATATGAGTTGTCAGTCATATCTTTTTTTTTTTTTACTCTGTGTTTTGCTGGAGTTTTTCCTCCTACAGGACTGAGGACTGAGCGCGTGTACTTGTGTTTTGATTTTGCGGATGAGGGGGATGGGAACGGAACCACTGGACTTTTAACTGTGGTTAGGCAACATCTGTGCAACGCTGTAAAGCTTTGAAGAGCATCAGAACTCGAATTTTAAAACATGTCATTAATGGGCCCCATCTTGTTTTGTGGTTTTAACTTAATGAGAACACGTGCATGACATGACTTGAATTTAGATCTTCACAAAAATTTAATCAATTCTATCTATCTATCTATCTATCTATCTATCTATCTATCTATCTATCTATCTATCTATCTATCTATCTATCTATCTATCTATCTATCTATCTATCTATCTATCTATCTATCTATCTATCTATCTATCTATCTATCTATCTATCTATCTATCTATCTATCTCTAAACCACTGTTAAATATTAGATTTTTTCTGTTGTGAAAGACTTTTAAATTGAATCTATTGTAGGTAATTCAATGAACAGTAAATCTTCAGCACCACAGTAAATTACAATACCCTGCCTTACTAAAACATCCCCCATCCACTGGGCTTTTCTCTGTTTTCTCATGTAGTAATCACAAATAATGTAATTTATTGGATTTATTAGTTGTTCATATTTGATAGATCAACAGAAACCAACACATTATGATGTAAAAATAACTTCCTATACAAAAAAATACAATATATTTTTTATTTCTTTAATATAACCATTATAATAAAAAAAACAACAACAACAAACTGCTACACTAATGATAAGCAGAAATTAGGACTCCTTTAGTGAGAACTCCATCTACATAAATTTTCTCATTATTGATATAGTTTTTAATTGAGAGAGAATATTATGGAACGAGCATTATCACGAGGACTAAGAATTTCAACCACCAGACTAATATTGCAAAAAAGTTCAAAGAAGGATTAGGTTATAAAAAATCAGAGATGGGAAGTAACAAAGTACAAATACTTCGCTACTGTACTCAAGTAGATTTTTCTGATATTTTTACTTTCCTTTACTACTTATTTTTATGGCGACTTTTTACTTCTACTCCTTACATTTTTACACAAATATCTGTACTTTCTACTCCTTACATTTTAAAAAATTGGCTCGTTACTTTAGCTTTGAATCATTTCAATGGAGTTACCGTTATTATTTTTCACGTCATCAATATCAAATTCAATCTAATTGGATGGGAATCTACGTTGCATTTGACGCACCACTACAAGATGAATCAACAGATTCGGCGGTATTCATTGGCGGCAAATCATTGCAGCTTGGTGGCGGTGGCGTTAGCATAGTAGTATGGACGACGAGATGATTGAAAATGAACACAATGGAGATCTAGTCCTATTGGCAGACATCCATTTAAAATGTAGGCAACGGCATGAAAAAAGTGGTTTCTACTTTTACTTTTATACTTTAAGCAAATTTACAAGACTGTACTTTGTTACTTTTACTTGAGTAAAGAAGTTTAATCAATACTTCCACTTTTACCAGAGTATTTTTTTAACACAAGTATCTGTACTTTTACTCAAGTACGGAAAGTGAGTACTTTTGCCATCTGTGTAAAACATTAACATCTAACAAAGAGCTTTTCGGTCAATAATCCACAAAAGGAGAGATAACGTTCCAATTGTAACCCGGCCAAGATACAGTATGGCCCTTACACCAAACTGAGAGAGTGCAAATAATCAGAATGTAGCCAAGAGGAGCCTGGAGGAGCTACAGGGATCCACAGCTCCTAGACAATCTGATAACAGGGGAGCTGTTTGTTTTGCATACCACAATACAGCCTTTATTGGAGAGTGGTGAGAAGAAAGCAATTAAAAGTTTCCCTCGTAGTTTATTATAATCCATTTAGTGGATAAGAAGCTATGAAGAAGTTTCTCACCTTTATTGAGACCAAAATACTTTTTGGCATATTGTAGTAGTTCTGCCGTATGTGTGAAAGAAAACAAATGACAGCACATCAGTCCTTTTTTAACATGGCAGTGGCAGTACTATGCGGGGGATTTTATTTTGTTTCATTTTTCCTCAATAGTGTCTTGTGAGGATTTCTAAATACAGGTTCACCTGGACGACAGAAAGCAACCCCTTTGTATTTATTGTTCTATTAAGATTTGCATCTCTAAATTTCCCAAAACATCTAACTAGTCATTTTGTTGTAAAACTCACAATATGTCAGATGTGTTTTGAATCTTACATAGTTGCTCGACTTAAAAGTATAACCTAGAAGAGGACGAATCAAATTCAGGTCATAGGTATACCTTCTTCATGATATTCCTCTGAGAGGGTTTGAAAGAAACACAATAAAGATCATTCAAAAATTGAAAGAAAAAATACATTTTATAATTCTGCAAATATTAATGCTACCTTTTAAAAGATTTTTTTTACAAGGGTTTGTGTATTTTTTATTTATTTTCAGATTTGTTTTATCTTTAGAAAGAGGGTTTAAGTACTTGCACCATATCAGACATAACTTGACTCAATCTGTATTCAAATCATGTGCTTCCATTGCCAATTAAATTAACACAGACTAACCTTTTTTAATGCTAATAATTGCATTAGAAAAGCATTATGTTTTCAACCATAACTAAATAGTCAATTTTGTTTTTTGTTTTTAATAAGATTCAGTTTCAAGGTTACCTTACTGATACCAGCGGGCAGATTATAAAATACAGCTTGGTGACAAAGTCTTAATATGTACTGCATGACTTCACAAAATACAAAAGTACCTTTAATGTATTACAAAGTAAAAATGCTTTTTTTCTACTCTGCTTGTTTGTGTTGCCGATGTCACAGGAAGCTCAAGAATCACGCTGATCAGATGACAGTAGATAGTAGTGGACAAGTGACTTTTGATTGATTTTGAGGTAGATTATAAAGCACTCACTCATAAATAGAACAGAATAGAATAGATAATAACTTTATTGTCCCACAATGGGGGGGTTGTGGTGTTACAGCAGCAAAAAGATTATAGCAAAAGTGGTCACACAAATGTGGACCCTAAAAAAGTGTATAAAATAACAGAATAAGTGACAGAGTTAAGAAAATAAACAAATAGATTGCTGTACTGTACAGTGTTTTTTACAATATGAATACTGTGCATGTGGACAATGTGGTTGTCCTCTTCTCAAAGATATTTCAGTGGTATAATTGGGGCCAGACATTTCTGAAATTCATGCAGGATTGCTTAATATGGTTGTAATGTTTTTCTGCAGGTGTTAGAATACCACACTGAAGAAGAAATTCCATTAAGCAAATAAGGAGACATTTAGGAAAAATAAGAATGCACTTTCTCTAAAGACCCTTTCTTACGGCATTGCTTTATGCTATATGTGATGTCACCAGAAGCATGGGTGTTTGAAATATTGTTTTTAAGACAATGTTTTACATAAATGACCATGACATGTATTCCTTTAGTGAAACTCTGACTTACCAAGCTTAATGCTTGGTGCCACCAATTAGGCAACTTATTCTAATGTGTGATTAGGATAAATCTTTCATCATGAATATAGCACACACTAATTATAAAAGCAGTAATTAATTGCTTTGTTTGAATGTTACACACAGTTCGGATAAAAGAAATGTCATTTTGCCTTTGATTTGACTAAGGATTACAGTCACGTTAAAGTCAGGCTGTGGTAAAAGTCATAATGACACTGAGGTAATAAAGGATCAACTTTTCAGCCAAATTCAAAACCTGGAAACTAAGTAAAGATGACTGGCTGGGACTTGTTATGGCATAACTTCAGTGCTTAGTGTAATATAATTAGGCAGTTGTTGAATCATTCTCACCTAGTCACATGCACAGCATAATCATGGTTAGTTTCATATCTTTCAAAATAGAACAACACTTTAGTCCTGGAACTACCTCAGTTGTATTTTCCCCAACTTCTATTACACCCTCCGAGGGTTAAACAAGCTGTAGAGAAACTTGGCAGGGAGACAGAAAATGGGATAATGTGTTGGGGAGACAAAGCAGGCAAAGACTAAAAGGTAAGGGGAGATACAGTTTTAACGGCTCCCTGGACATAAGCCCATCAGATTACCAGCCACATTCCTTTCACACATGTCTTAGGAACCAGTTGATGGCTTGGCTAAGGAAATGATCACAGCTTTTGAGCTCAGTTAGATTCATATTAAGCAACCATACATGTTTCATTACTGTAACATAAACACAGTAACACAAGGAGGCAGTATGTCTTGCAGACTGACAATTCTTTTATTTGGCCACCTGTATCTTGTTTTGATTTTGACGCTCTGTGCATGAAGAACTGCATACCTTTCACCTGGAAAAATGAGGAGTCCACTCTTCTATGAACTTTAAAGGAGCACAACATAAAACTGTAATTTGAACCCATTTCACATTTGAGGTAATCTAGTTCAGAATGAATGAACATCATCCTTAGATGTTTGTAGCAAGAAAAAAATAAAAATAAATGAAAAAATAAAAAAACACCATTCCTGGAGCTTTTATCCTTTCATCCGGATATAATTACTCAAACCATTACCCCAAACCATTAACATTAGTGCAAAGTAGTTTTGATGATAAATGACATAGTAATGCTTTAGATATGTACCAGAATGAAATATTGTTAAAAAGGAAATCCCACCGAGGGTATGTACTACCATTTGTTAGAACTTCACACATCTTTGAAGGATATATAGCTTAATACAAGATTATTATGAGATACATGATGATATGACTTTTGAAACTTGAAATTTGGCTCAGCAGTCTTTTAGCCAATTCCTTCTCCTCAGCTTTCTGGCCTTTCAACATCTCTTGGTTGTAGTTAAAGGTTTTGAAAGTTAATTCATGTGACAAAGTTT